GGGTTTGTTGTTCAAACTGTTTGTAAGAAAATCAACTGTTTAAAAGAAATCAACCATTCTTTGAAAGTAGATGGTTAATATTTTCATGAAAGCATACAAAAATAATAAGTTACAATGTAAAAAGTTACTTTTGTTGGTTGAAAACCATTAAAGCTTTTTACCATGAGCGTCTTTGCACAAAGTATTTATTATTATTATTATTGAATTGACATATGTTTAGCTTGATGACCAGTCCAATAACAATCACACCTAGGCTAAAGTAGATAAACGTGTTGACGCGGAAATACAGGTACCTGGAGCAGTTATACATATACCCTCAAAGCTTCAGATTAATCTTTTAGATTACAGATTTTGAGGATGAACTTCAGATTATAAATCTTTTTTTCACGGTTTTGGGGCTAGCTTCCACTGAAAGGCTCTGAAGTTCTCTGACCGACCCACGACTCTCTTCGCTCGGCCGCGTGCAACTCAGCGCTAGGTAATGGACCGTGTCAGATTATGCATTCTGTGATTTATGTGTTCACTGTTGGTTTCCTTACTCTCACGGCAGACAGCTCTCGTTCAACGCACTGGAGTTCGTTTACCCCGAGACGTTCCGAGACCTGACTTCCCTCCAGCATTTGTGAGTACTACAGTGTTTGTTTAACCAAGAATTATATAGCTCCGGCTTATTAATTCAATGATTTTTTATTTTACGTTCTGAGGCTTAGGAAGAGATCACTCAGGCGAAATCTAGATAATATTAAATTTCCTGTCATTAAGGACTGAAGTGCTTTTGACGTATTATGACTTCTTTTTTTTCTCCTTAAATCCTTTTTTACTTTCGACGGCAAATCACTCGAGCTATTTCAGTGGTCGCTTGGCTTTGCACTTCCCCTCTCTGCACTTGCAAGACCCTTGCAGAAAATGCTTCTAAGATGTGCCCGCGGAGTTTGTTTTCAATAAATTTGAGCCGCAGGACTGTCATTTTAATCCGAGGATTTCGAATACTCGTCTGATTCCCTTTTACTATTCTTTTAGCGTAGGTTCGGTGGCAACAAATTGTTAATTTGTATTTGAGATTTTTATTTCTCCAAGGGACTGGTGAAAGTCACTCTAAAGAGTACTATGGAAAAGGTGTGGCATTGTGTGTTTGCACGGGCCGGCCGGCCGCAGTCCACTCTTATATTTTGCTCCTGAGATGGAATGCTTCCTTTGAACAGGGGGGAAGCGGCATCACGGACCCACGATTCCTAAAGCATAACCTGTGTCTGGCTTGACACGGTTAAGCTCGTGCGCTGTTGTACCTAAAATTGGTGCTTTTTAGCTAAAAACTGTGTGCCACATCATTGGATAGCAGGAACAATGAAAAAGTTTGATGCTTAGAATCTGTTTTTCAGGAAATTTCCCACACTTAAGTCGGCAACGTCATAATTTGACTGGTATGGGCAATACTTAGCGTGGACTGTTTATGCAGCACACTTATTCTGAAGCTTTGAATTTCACACTTTAACATATATTAAACGAGAAAAATAAAGCATGTATTGCGGTTACTGTCTCTTCAAATCAACCCTTTTAGCCACCTACTTGTCGGATCCTTTTGTCACTGTAGCTGCCACTTAAAAGCAAATTAAACATGACAAATTGACCATTTTCCCATCAAATTGAATTGAAGACTAATTGCAATATTTTCAAATGGATGCGTATCGACATTTTTCCATGTTTATCAAGGAGTTTCAAAACGGCCTATCTCCTATCCCTTAGGCTTTGAAAGGCTAAGTGCTTGTTGTTAAGGAATCTTGTTAACTATTTCAACTTTAAATTATGCAGTGTAGCATTTTTCGAAATCCTGCTTTGATCTTTTTTTTCTCAGAGCCATAAGAGGTAATTCCCTATCGACAGTACAGAAAGGAAGCTTCATTGGACTTCACAGCGTTACAGATTTGTAAGTTGGAGAAAGGGACTACTTTTTGTCTGAGCATGATCTTTTTTTTTTGGTTCCTTAATCAACTCTCGACCCGAGAATTAATCATTTGCAACAAAAAGTAATAATCACAAAACTATTCCCTGTTAGAAATTAAATTTCTGGAGAAAACTCAATCGACAACTACCAGACGATTTTTAGAAGTTGTGATATGTCTCCTTAGTTCCTGTTTTAAAGGGTTCCCACTCCCATTTGTATTGCCATTCATTTTTGTTTTTATTCTTTTGAAATCAAACAGTTAAAGAATACGATTACTGAAGCCTTTAAATTTGCTATCGAAAGAAAAACCAAAGTAGCTCGTTTCTATTGCAAGAGATTTCTTCGAGACAGTTTTTTTCGTGTCCCTATCACACCTGACATATGATTTTGTAAGTTCAGAACACATTTTTAATTTCCGAGAGTCGTGAATGAACGCAATTACCTGCCAGAAGTTATAGTTTGAAATCATTACCGGTGATATTTCCCTGTCAAATAACAAAGGTCAAATCTAACAGGGACACAAAAATGTCACACGTTTGGACCCCCAATACTTGGAATTACCCGTAAAGCACGTTTAGAAAGCGACGTCATATTTGAATGATTTGAAAACGTTCGCTGAAAAAATTCATGCCTGACGAAATAAGGCAGCTCACATCCCCCACAACCGATCCGAACTTGTCAGTCTGAAAGAAAATGACCTTGTAAAGGTATCGGGACTCAGAACACTACATAGGATCAGAGAAGTATTCTAATCTTGAATTCTATCCTTATGTATACCTACCAATAATAAAGCCTCAATGTCTACAGCGTCATTTAGGGAGTAAAGCCGAAATTATTCTTTAAAAGGCAGGTCAATAATAACACGTGTAGTTTTAAGTCTTGTTTCGCATTGCACTCCCGTGCAAAAGAGTTGCAAAGGGAGATTAGGAAGAGGAGAATGGAGAAATTAAAGGGGTAAAAGATAAAGACAAAGTAAAGGAAAAGAAAATGTAGAAACATTTTTCTAAAAAAAAACTTCAGAACGGATCACCCCTACCCGAAGTTGGTTGTATTTCATGCAGCACTCCCGAGTGCTCTCGCCGTGGAGAGAGTCATGCCCCCCTTCTAGGCGATGCTGATCAGTGCTCCCAAATCGTCACCCACTCCACACAAGAAAAAAACACTTACCCTTGTTATTGCAGAAAGTACTCGCAGTCATGGTAGCGACATCTTCGACTCTATCCATACCACTGAGGTGAAGACAGGTTGCAGTTAAATGTACCGTCTCGGCGTCATATCTTACACACGACGATACTAAGTAAACATACCTGAGGTTTTTGTGAAATTGAACCGGCCTGTAGGGAGTTTTTCTAACCGAGGATTCACGGGCTCAACGGTGGCCATGTACACCTCTTAAAAAGGAGCAGTAAAAACAAAATTGTGAAAACGAATTAAAAGAAAGAGTTTTTTCTTTTGGTTTCTTTAATTTCCCTTACTGCCAAAAGCGTTTTAACAAACACCTAAATGTAAACTCAACAATCAGGAAAGCCATAAAATGTCGTATAAGAAATGTCCAACATTTTTGCCTTCCGGGATCAAGTTCTGAATCCACCTTTGGCCATAAAACGACGAACAATAAATTCTCACAACTCCACTCGTCAAAATGTTTTGGCATTATTTTATTTATTAAAGGGCATTTCTGACAACACCATAATGCTGTATTTGTTCTTTCGCTTGTAGGATTCTGGTCAATGATAATATATCGACGGTAGAGCCAGGTGCTTTCCAAGGACTAGAAAATCTGATATTTTTGTGAGTCATTAATGTTTATGAAAGGCCCTTTTGTTGTGACGTATATTTTGTTGAGCTGAAACACTTTACACACGGTCTCTAAAGCTTGGGATTCAATTTGTTGCTTAAAAAGTTGACCCACTGATACAATTGAGCACTGTTAAATTAATCTAAAACCACTGTTTAGTTAAAATGGGCACATGAACAACCTTGTTTAAAACGTAAATAAGGCTGTTACATGTTAATCTGCAAGTTCAAAATTTCAAACCAACTGGGTTAAAATGCATGCGTCGCCACTGATCACGGTAGGACACAAGTTGAGATATTAAAAGAGATTACAAATTACCGAGTGGTCCCCAGATTTTCAATAAATGTAGAACAATAACAAGAAGAAACAATGGAAACAGTAGCAACATAAGAGCCGTCCCGTTGTCTTTTAAAAGTGCACACACTATTACTGCCTTAATAGTCGCGACTTAACGCCGGTGAGCCCCGTTATTTTGCCGCCTTTATTGCAGGGATCTCGGAAATAATACTTTCACAGAGCTTCGGGCCGGAACTTTTGCTGGGCTCTCTAAGCTACAAGTACTGTAAGTATTTGTTTGAAAACCTAACAGAGTACCATTAAGACGTTAGAGTGCACGTTCCGTTTGGAATGCACACCATGGACACGTTCAGTCATGTACACTGTAAACATTTTAAACAGACAGCCAGCAGCGTCTGTCAGCGGTACTGCTGAGGGTTTTATGGCAAAACACTTCAGTCGTCGAGGATTTGCCGCAGTCTTTCTCCCCCCGAAAGAGGGCGCTCAACCTTAATGGGGGTCGAAGTCGAAAATATTCCACACAATGAGCGTTTTCGAAATGAGTTGATTCAGCTTAGACTTCAGTTTCTCTGGTTCCCATCAGATCTTGATCACGTGGTTTCAAAAGCTGCTTCAAAATGGCTGGAACTAGCGAAACCAAAATCTAAGTCGAATCCTAGCGTCAAAACAACCATAATTTCTTACTGCTTGTTTGTTGAACCCTTCCCACGTCAGAATCCTCCTTGCGCTTGAGTACGTGTTGGTGATTGAACAAATACATTATTCCTATATTTTACATTGTACGGAATGAAGCACGCATTTTCAAACAGCGAATTATCTTGTCCAGTGAACAGAAATGCATTTTGCAGCCTGTAAGCCCGAAAGACTGGTATACATCTGCCTCAAGTCCTCTCCCGAAGTCGAAAGCGGCAATTTTTGATATGGGTATGCGTTGTTCAACGACGCTTAAAAATGGAGGCATTACCAAAGGGATCCTGGTTATACACGGTGTAGCTTTGGACAGATAATGACCTCAAGGAACCGTTTAGGCCTGTCATGGGGCGTGGTCAAGTCGTAGTTACCCTTTCTCGTTTTGTTGCATTGGTTTAGGTGGATGAGCCACGTGCCATTACGACACATTGAGCCCGGGGCATTCAGTGGACTGTCAAATCTTGTGTCCCTGTAAGTGAATTTACTAGTTAATATTGTTCTAATTAGTGTTTATGATTTACTTTAACAAGGTCCTAGATAATTCACTTTTATTCAGGCCTAAACCCTTTGCGGCAACGTAGGCTTTGTCTAAAGGTGCCAATTTAGGACCTTGACAGAGTAGAGGGTCAAAGGGCAGCTGTTAAGTTCTAAATAGAGCTCTCCTATTGTGTGCGCCATACTTCAAATAGACCAGTTGCCATCTTGTGTAATCCCTTGTTTCTCAATTTGTCTGAGACCTCATAGGCTTAAGGGGGTTCTTTAAGGTGAGATACAAGATTACATGACTGGTTATCGTGACTGCCTTCATTCTTGACTTCAAATAATCAGTGGAGTCCCGGGGGACTTCCCTCCGCTGTTGCTTTATTTAAAGAGATGTTGGGAGTGCCAACATTTTAGAAATGTGTTATTAACACTTTCCATTCCTTTTAAGGATGAAAACAATTTGAGCAGTAATTAAAAAAAATACGTTCGTTTCTCCTCTGAACTCAAAGCCCGGATACGCCATTTGTTTATTATTACAATATTGTGAAGAGGTTCGAAAGCCATTTCAAAATGAGGATGACGTTTACTCATTTTTTTACCAACCTTACTTTTGAATGAACGTTTGTCCTTCTGCCCGACCAATTCACCGTCCTCTTTATAAGAACGCTGAAACATTTTAAGATGTTACCACCCGAGTCCTATATGAGCTCGCTCAGTTTGTAAATAAGGCAGACTGTAATAATATTTTGCTGAACGCTGAGGGACAGAGCAGTGTCACGTGACAGCTAATACTACAACGGTTGCTTTTCCACAGAAACATTCTACACGCAGATCTTGATGCGCCGAACCTGGGAATACTCGATGGACTGGACAACTTAGAGTCACTGTAAGTTGACACTGTTTGAAATTGATCCCTATTATCTACCAGAGGCTTTCTTCTATTCCTCACGATGCGTTTCTCTACTGCACGTTAACAAACGAGCGCCACATCGATGTTATCTACAGTGTCACACGTCCATTGATTATTCCGAGTAGTGAAACTTTTCCTGTTTGGTTGAAAAACCCACGTAAAACGCATGGCACTAGCGAGTTCGGTATCTCACAGCAACTCTGACGACATTTATCGGAAAGATAGATCAAGGCAATGCTGGTCAGTTGTGAATGCAGGGAATGTTTAAAACATTGAATTTGTACCGGTACTTTTTCTTTTTGTCCGACGTTATCATTACGTCACAAACTTACAGGACAATGTGTTGCTTTAAGTGCATTTTTGTTTTTCAGGTCCACAAGCGACCATCGCCTCTGCTGCCTCCTTAATCCTGCTCAGAATATCTCCTGTGTAGGACCTATTGAGTCCTTCTCAACTTGTCAGCGCCTTATGCCGAACACCATCCTCCGCGTGGCCATTTGGCTCCTTGGAATCAGTGCCATCTTGGGTAACCTCTTCGTGATTGGGCAACGAGGAGTCAAGAAGGGCTGGCACGAGCTGACGGTTCAGTCTATATTAATTACTCAACTGGCCATCTCAGACACCTTGATGGGCGTATACATGATCGCCATAGGCGCTGCAGACGTGCACTTTGGTGAGAGCTACTTTCTGTCGGCGGAGGCGTGGCGCACTGGTGCCTGGTGTAAAGCCATCGGCTTCCTGTCCATTTTGTCGTCGGAAGCGTCCGTGTTCTTTGTCATGTTGATCAGCGTGGACAGGTTCATCAGTATCGCCTTTCCCTTCAGCCGTTTCCGGCTGGAGGTCCGATTCGCCCGCATCACCGTCGCCGTGCTGTGGCTCATCGCCTTCGTCCTGAGTCTGACAGGCACCCTCATGGCCGGAAAGGAGCCTGCCTTCTACGGCCTATCTGACGTATGCGTTGGCCTCCCACTCATCACCACCCCAGTTAATCAGTCCACAACTTGGACCTACATCCGCGAGACGGGCACCTACGTTTACATCGCCTCTGCAGCCGGCACCCAGCCTGCCTGGGCTTTCTCCGTGTTCCTGTACCTGGGCCTGAATTTCGTCTGCTTTGCGGTGGTCCTGATATGCTACGTGTTGATCTTCATTGTTGTGAAGCGATCATCACAGAGTGTGGCCCGACAGGGCAAGATGGCTGGGAAACCCAGCAATAGCGCCCATGGAAGCTTTTCGCACCGGAGCGTTACCTTCTCTCGGGAAGTCAAGCTGGCCAGCAGGATGGCACTCGTAGTCGGTACCGACTTCTTGTGCTGGATGCCTATCATCGTCATGGGCATCCTGACCCAGAGTGGTCTTCTGAGCGTGCCCGAGGAGCTCTACGCCTGGACTGTGGTCTTCATCCTCCCCATCAACTCCTCGCTGAACCCCTACCTGTACACCATCTCCAAGTTATGCTCCAACCGGCGCAAGTCTTCAAAGAAGAAGGCACAGTGCGTCCGCATGACCTACACGCTACCGAGGCTCACCAACGACAGGATATTGAACTCGGCTGTGGACTCGGACACAGTGGCCGGCTTCATCGGTCGAGATTCGTGAGGCACATTTACCCAGTCTCTGGATGTTTACTGGTCGCATGAGACCCTTATGTATATATGCCAACAAACAAAGCATACCGTTCAACTGAGCTGTATAGGCCTACTCTCCACATAGATTAGATGTTTGATTACAACACCAAGGCAAGTGAAATGTAGCTTGTACATAATTATGTTGTGTGCATTTCGAAATTCAAAATGTGGGCTTCCGCTGGAGGGAGCATAAGATCAGACACAAGAAAAGAACCAGGGTCAACAGTCATTAATGAATGCTTTTGCATTCATTTGAATAGCCTGTGATTTAAATAAGCCTTTTGCGAGTTGAATTTGAATAACATCTGGTACACTGAGTTTTTAAAATTCACGTGAACACAGCAATTTGAATTCTCCATACTAAAGACACTGTTGCTATACCTTGTGATTCGGGGCAAGCTTTGGCTTAGTTGCACAAAAGACGTCTTGCAGCAATACATTATTTTCAATGGATACTAATGGCACAAAGGAACCAGTCCATTTCAGAGATGGTGGTCACTGTGCAAAAGCTTGCCCCGAATCACGAGGAATAGCCACAGTGCACTTAGTTCAGGGAATTCAAATTGTTCTGTTTATGTGAAATCAGATAACTCAGTGTTTCTTCAAATTTAACTCGCAAAGGGCTTATTCAGCCTAGGGGCCTTGTAATGGACTTAAGGGGCCTAGACTAAAGCATTGCTTGGTTGAGGTGGTAACAGAACAAGGAATGAGTGCTACACGAGCCGTTCCAATCTTGAAATTTTCATAAATTCACAATTATTGCGAAAGACACTCTTCCTTTCCTGACTAATACACTAAGTGTCCTTTTGAGTTGAAATAAAACTGTAAAGTTCCAAACTGAAACATGTAAGTGTGTGCAACACTGTATTTGTAATTCCAAGAATGATTTGTCACAATAATAGACGTGTTCGTGATCACTTAAATTGGGAACTACATGAGAATATTTATCCAAAGCATTTTAAATGTACATGTAGGCTTAATTGAAAACTAGGTAAAAATTATTCTATTTTGAAAGTGTACAGTAATGTTAATGTAGCACATGTACCATGAATATAAATTAATTAAATATCAATACATTTATATCATATCTTTTCTGATATCACCGCCACATATTATCACTGAGCGGAACCTTTATAGGGTAATGGTAGGAGGAGAATGCTGATTAAAGGAAAGGGGGCATGAAGGTTTGTAGTAATGTTGCCAAAAGATGGCTCAATAGGACGAAGACTTTTAAATATATATTTTTGTGTCGAGTTTCGGTACGATCCACCATCGCACGGTTGTTAACCTTAAGGGAGGGGGAATACAATCCTCCCAGTCGGCGCATAGGGGAGCGGACATCCCCCCTTCCCACAACTGGAGAAAATACTTTTGCTTTTAAAATGTGATGTGAGAGAGAAGAGTTTGGGGTCTGTTTCATTTCCCTTTCCTTTCCAACATGTTTAAATCCGACAATTTAGTCTCTGCCTGGCCACAAGAGGTTACCTAAACCAGGGGCAGACCCGAGGGGCAGCGAGGGGGTGGCGTGCCCCCCCCCCTGCCATCAAAAAAAGAAGTTAATTTTCTGTTTGAAAAAAATAATGTCAGAAGGGCAATTGTTAGGCCTATTTCGTTTTCCTTCCAAAAGCGTGTCGGAATCCCCCAAATGTAGCCGTACCCTGAGAAGACAGTAACAGGTTGAGTAACAAAATTTCCATTTTTGTCCCCCCCCTAGGTCTGCTCCCTTGGATTTACCCTTGTATTAAAACTGATATGATTATGTCCACTGGCAGAGGAAAGGTATTTCTTCGAAAGCAACCTACATTACTAGGTTTCTTAATTTAATATAAACCTCAGAGAAGCTGCGGTTATAGACTCGACGGTAGAAGTGGAATAGAGATATTACTATTAAATGTTAAAGAGTGCTCTACTTAATTATTTAAAGTAGATCACCTAATTGTTTTAGCACTCTACGCATGTAAGTCCTCACAGCATTTAAAAAAGCAGGTACTTTCTGAGCTGGGGTAAAGAAAAATATTGGTATCTACCATTTTATTGCCAGGATTTTCAGAAACACTTTTAGGGAAATGCATAGGGAAATTGCATGAAATGCATATCACCAACTTGTAAAAAACTGTTCGTGTGTTTGAGTAGTATTCAAAGATACTGTAAGGTTTTCAAAGGCCAGTTTTAGAGGTAAGGTAGTGGAGTAGATACAGATTGTAAAGTATTCACAATGACGTTCAAGAACCATTGTGAAAATAATAAGTCCTGTTCTTTTGCGCGCTTTTGTTCTCTTTCAGATGTGAAAGTCAGTGGGTTTTTTTGTTTTTAAATGATATATTGAATTTAGCCAATCAAAATAATTGTTTATTTCTCACTGATGTGCATGACAATCTTCGAGTTCTCCATTTCAATTCTTATGTCACGTCCGTGAAAACGTTACTTCAAATTAATTAATTAAACACTTTAGCTTTTATCAGTTTTGGTTTCATTGATTGGTAAAAGTGATGCATTGAATTTAGACATTCGAAAAAATTTTCATTCTTTACAGATATGCATAACAATCTTTGTGTTCTCAATTAAAGTTTTAGTGTCACGTTATTTCAAATGAATTGAGCCCTTTTAATTTTAATCAATGTATTCAACATTTCATGTACCATGTATATAACATTGCCTACACATTGACAGTTACCGGTTGTAATTTTGCGTATAACTGTTCACGCTTTAATGCATTACTCTAAATTAATCGTTTACGTGTATGTGATTCGTTTGCTACGCTAGTATACGAGGCTCAGCGTCGATCATGCTATAAAGTGAGCATTTTTCTCTTGGATGAAACAAGTCTCAAGGCTACAAATTTAGATTTCAAAAATGATCTTCTTCGTCCGAAGATAATCTAGGGGGAACAAACTGGAAAATGGGATCACTCTGTTCCTTAATTGGAGAGTACATTTTTCTTACTGTTTATTCCCCTGATCCTCCACTTTTTCTGTCTCTTGTACCTATGTTCGTATCCCTGTGTCTTACTTAATGCTGCTAAAGCTGTTGCGTAACTATTGTGTAGCTATAGACCACTCTCATTTCGCATACAACTTGTATGGGCGGCCAAAGTCTGCAGAAATAACACCTTTTGGTTGGTTTTCGATTCCAACTCCAATTTGTTCAAGTGACCATTTATCTCATTGATTTTAAATGGGGTTGTATTTTCTTTTAGTATTTAGTAGCGAGCGTATTATCATCTGGTATTCTGATAACTGCGTGGGATTTGTAACGCTTTTTGAATTGGTCTTTTACTTTTGTACCGGCGACTAACCATAGTTTTAGCAATCTATTGTAGGAAAAACGCGATTGTGACGTCAAAAGAACAGTTTAATGTATTACTGGCACGCCTGGCATTGATCATTTTGCTATAAAATCCTGGTCGTTAAACAGCTGTGGGTACTAGTCGGATCGGATCAAGAGTACGAATTTCTATGAAATGTGTACCAGTACTTGATTGAAAAGTCAACAAAAATTTTGAGTGTATCCTTTTTTCTATTTTTTTTAGAACTCTTCACAACTTCTGCAAAGGATGTAAGTACCGTTCAGGCCTGAGCAAATTCAATTCTTAAGGGAATGTCTGTTGGAACTTACGACCGAGGTAGCCCCTGGGAGAGAAACTAGTCCCTTGCCCCTCCCCCCCCTTAGCTTACAGTTTATAGACTTCAAATAATAAGACGCTCGCTTCTGTTTTCAAAAACACTTGAAAAAATATCCGTTTTCGGTTAACACATTTATGACATTCATTAAACAAATTGCTATCACTACGATAATTACTATATGTATAAGATCATTGGAATTCGTGTAAATTCAAAACATGATCAGAAAGGCGACTTTGTTAGGGTTAAGGTGAAGTTTGTTTGATCTTGGTTATTACCCTTTCAAAAAAACTTCATATAATTAGGGGACGTTTAACAGGTGATGTAGGCCAAATGTCGCCCTGTACTAGGGAAAGGATTTATAAAGAAAGGGTCCATAAAAAGAAGTGAGTTTTGTTTTGTACATTCAGATAACTGCATTGTGCATGACTGAATTAACAATTGACGTTTTTCTGATGGTGGAATTTATCATGGTTGGTTGATGATGGTGAATGCGGCGACGATGGTGATTGTGGGCGGTTGTAACTTTAGTAGTGGTAATAACGTTTTTGGACTAGCGGTGCCCAAAACAACAGAAAACACGTCGTTGCTTAGATGTGTATATTAATTACGATAATGTATTGTAGCGTGTCCTACTTATTACACAGTCAGCCACAAATCGCCGCTCCGTGCAAGAAACCTCTGTTTTATTTCTTTCGACGTCAACAACACTGTTTCTCATACAAAGCTCTAGACACGAGGCGTCTAGGCGGGGACTGCGCAGGCGCGACGCAGGAAAACCGCGGGCTCGTTCGCATACCATCGGGGCAGCCAGCTAGCTCCATGCGGGTCCAAGCTGGCGCCCCCACCGGCCGGACCCGCCGGCGCTACAGTATTTTAAGCAAATTCAGCAGGGTTGAAAATTGATGAAGTTCATAAAGCAGGAACGGAAAATGTAATTTTTCATTTGAGTAACTAAAGAAGATTTATCGGAAAGATTTATGACTTGTTGCTCATTTTATAATGGCACAGCAGTCTCGTTGCTATTATGGCGGTCGTGCCGACACACTCCCCCAGGTCGTCCTCTGCCGACGTCAGCGAGCAGTCTTGTCTGAGGGGATCGAGCAGGCCCGTTTTGGGGCAGTCTACCACCGGGTGCAGCAGGAGAGCAGTACAGGCGCGCACTGGGTTAAAGAACAGGGTGGGACACTGGGGGGGGGCACCTCAGACACAAACGGACACGTCTGCCTAAGGTGGCTCTGGTTTAATAATTGCTTACACCTCCGCAGGTGCTACTACTGATGCGACCTCCACAGGCCCTGGCAATCTCCCAGACAGGTCTTGGCCCTAAACAGGTCGTGATCCCTATACAGGTGTAAGCTATGGGCACAGCATGTTTTACATCCACCAAATTCCCCGTAAGACAACCGCCCCGATTTAAATTCCCCAGACTAAAGACACTGTTTCTATACCTCGTGATTCGGGGCAAGCTTTCGCATAGCGACCACCATCCCTGAAATGGACTGGTTCCTTTATGCCCTCCTTATCCATTGTTGCAAGGCGTCTCTTATGTAACTAAGCAAATGCTTGCCCCGAAACACGAGGTATAGTAACTGTGGTTTTAGTATTAAGGAGAATTCAAGTTTTTATGTTCACGTGAATTTAAAGAACTCAGTGTACCAGATTTAGGTCAAAGTTAACTCGCAAACGGCTTATTCAACTGACTAGGACGGTGCTGGAACTACTATGGCACGTGGAACTGACTGCGAAGGAACTGACCCGCTTGGCGCGCGATTGCACTTGTATATCTCGCGGGCCGCCAGCTTTGCGCCACCAGCCACAGCGCACGTCGGGCCCTGCCGACGTCATGGAATAAGCCCTGGGCCTAACTACGACGGCTCAGAATAAACACATAAACTGCTATTGTACCACAATATTGACAAACTGTACACAAATTCTAGCTCCAGTAAAGTGATATCCATGTACTTTTTTGTAACAGTATATAGTAATAATAACTGTTCTTTTCATTTGTGTAAAAATATAAAGTCTGTCTTTGCTGTAGTTTCCGATAATACTTTTTGGATAAGCAAAATGTAAACAGCTAATTCTGTGATTGGTATATCATTGCAGAACACTTAGTGCCAGACTTGGAAATGGCGGCAATTCAGCCCTCGTTGTAGCTTTATGAACCAAAACTCCTTGAAATCATTCTAAAACAACTTTTTTCCCTAAAAAGAGACTGTGACCGCATGTGTTCATTGATCACTTCATAGCAATGAAATAAAGCGATGTGTTGCTTCTACCAAATGACTCCAAAGTAATTTCACAGTTACATGCTTTGGCTAAGAGTATAGCGCTCAGTTGCAGGGCTGGCGTGGAGCCTGAGGTTGGGGGTTTACTTCCGACCCCCCCAGCTCCTGACTCTAGAAAATAAAATGAAATAATGATAGTAATAATACAAATCAAATTAATAATAGTTTTATGCATTATCTATGTGTCAGCCTGTCTGCAGCAATCGCACATTTAAAGATGTTACGCCCTCCCACTGAAAAACTCCTTGACCCCTCCCTAATTGAAAGACTTCATTCGAATAATGCGAATACTTGGCGTCGATTCCCATTTGTATTAGGCGCTTTTAACATTCATTGTGAATTACTGCGTCAACTCCATCTAAAAAAAAACTCTGGTTTCTGTTTTGCATATATTAATATTTGAAAATAGATATTTGACTGGTCACGATTTCCACATATAAAGCTAAGGTCCATCGAAATGCGCGCAACTCTTTTTTACACCAGATATTGCATATTTAAATAGACACTAATTTCAAGCGATGTCAGAAACCAGGCTTTTCCCCCACTTCCACCAGTCGTGTGCACAATGCCCAATAATGCAAATGATTGGAAACCAAATCAGGCTGGCGAGCAGGTGGCCGTGGGAGCGCTCTGCTCAGCATCCTGAAAATGAATGCATTACCCCCTCTAGTTCAATGGTGCATCTCAAGTAAATTCATGGCAATCATGTACCGAGCAGACGACATGGTTGACAGCAATATTCTCACCTAAATCATAAATGCATATTTCATAACCTGTTTAAGAGGTGTTTCTTACTTGGCCCTTGGTTGATGTTTTGCACGCAACTTTTGCCATCGTACAAGTTTAAGTGTACTCCTTCCACTTGTATCAGCCTTTCTCAACGTATTTAATAATCCACAATGTCTCTTTTCTTAAAGGCTTTCCCAATACTTTCCCTACGTGTAATTAAACACAAAATTAAGAAACTGCATTGTGAAGGCTGGTAGCTGAAAGTTGACTCATTATTTTGAATGGGCCAGAGTGCTAATTACCTATTGTGTTTGTGATTTGCTTCACAGTTCGAAAGATTTTCCTTGAACTAGATTTTTCCGTTATTAAAACCTAATTTTTCTGAACAAGCCTGGGTTCAGTAGTCGTTCCCATAACTGCAAATCACCAATTCCACGTGTCACTGGCTTGAATTGTCGTGTCGAGCGGCTGTTTTATGTTTAAAAAAAGGGGGAATGGGCGTTGGGGGGTCAAGGGTGCGCTTGGTTTCCCCGCCCCCCCCCCACCCCCGGGAAAAATGGGAGAATGAGGGAAAAGCGTAAGAAATGAAAAATATATATATATAGCAGGGGATGAAAATTCCATCTCTTTTGTCCGCCTTGAAAAGTTGGGGATGATCCGATAGCCCATCCCCCGTGCAAAACGTTGGGGGGAGGTTAAAAAAGACTTTCCACTTGTTAGGTCGATGGTACAGCTGTGCGCAGTCTACACCTTATCCAAACTTGGTGAAACCAAATGGGCGTTTTATACTACAGGATAAAGTACAAATAGTCATGCGCTGAAAAAAAAACAACGTTAGAGTGTTCTTGCTGCGTCCTCGGCCATGGACAGTCTATGGTAAAACCGTGCAGGGGCTTCGAATGAATTCATTAACACGACAATGTCAGAATACGACGAGGATTGTTCAGGACCATCTCTTTTAGAACAAATATCCACCTTTGGGACCTTTAACCTCGATTCGCCATCGTTCGGAAATCTTGACTCATATCTTACTCAGTATCGCATCCTAAATCTGTCACTGTGCGGAGAAAATTGACAGACGCTAGCAACTGAACCTCGTCCCCTGGGGTTTTCATTAATTTCAATTTCGTCTCGAGTAGAAAACCCAAATGTGAAACGTCCTTTCCCATCCTAGCGGTAAAAGCAACAGTGAAGAATATTCTGCTTGTCATGTTTATTTTTTCAAAATGCATTGCCTGTTCCAACGCCAGATTTTCAACAATATCTTTTCTGCTTTCAAAACAGCACCCCTTTTCTTCGTCTTATTAACCCTCCTTTTATTGTAACTGTCAAAAGCAGTCAAAAATTCCTTCCACTTGATTTCCCCCATTACACAGACACATATGGGAAATTTGACTGGTTTTGACTGATAGGACAACTGGTTCAAGAATATGACTTTGCAAAGGAGGATTAATGTCGAATTTGATACAAATTCTATATAACATTTTAACTTTGGGGAAAAAAGCACTCTCCGATCCAAGATGTCACACTGGGAAGAATTATTGACTTGGTTATTATGTGAGACGCTGCATACTGAAACGAACACGACGATTAAAAGCGCTTTCGGAAATCAGGACATTCCTATTAACATTGTCCATGGTTGGCGGACAACAAAGGATCTTTTACTAGAGTGGGAAAGCAATTACAGCTATGACTGACCACAGCTCGACACCCTGGAACGACGTTAGCTGCAATTTCGTCATGGTCGTTCTGTTCATGACATTATCGTCAGCATATGTAATGTCCCCTAGAATACGTCTCATAACAATTGCAAAGTTTCCCTGGAGTTTCTGCAGAGTATCTAGTGCAACTTTAAAAAACGGGGGCGGGATTTTACACACACCCCTCAAAACGATACGTTTGTGTCCAGTCAAGGATTTGTTGACATGCATTTTGACAAGCCTATTTGAATATCCAAAGAAAACAAGAAGCGAAGGCATAAAGAAGCAAGTTGACCCGAAAATCACACAGCTTCGAACGATGCCATCAAGTCAAGCAATGTTGTAAATATCTTGACTTGTAAATAACAGCATCAACACTTTGTGTTTTTGTAAACATGTACACCGTATGCAGTACGTGAATTATGTTTAACTGCGGGATACAATATCTTTCCCGCTGTTCAGAGTTTCGTTAACACTGTGTTGTATATATTATCTTGACCTTAGGTGCGAGGTTGTAGCTACGCTGGTATTACGTAAGTTTATGCATATTCCTATGAGATCTGTTCGGGGGACAGTGGAGTTCCGTTTCCGCTACGACCGCCATTGTTGTTTACAACATTCGTCACTGTTCCATTCGTTTTTGTTTTGTTTTTGTACTGTGCTCATTCTCGCTTTAATTGGCTTAAGTAACTTTGGCAGGGGACCACAGACCGGCGTCTAAATAAAAGAAGAAATTTCTCTCTCGCTCCGAAGATGAGATCAGAAATTTAATTTTTGAATTGGACAGCATCAGCACGAAGAAAAAATTACCGAACATTTTGCACGAACGGTTTGCGAGTTCTGCACTGCCACAGGAAGAGACCCAGAATATCACTACCAGTGACAGAATCGGACAACTTATTATTGGGAGATTTCTCTGGAAATGTCGACACAAACGATGGTACTTCCAGCCAATTACCGTTCTCCAGTACAGCCTATTTGTTACTTACTGCTGTCGTGATTGTTCCCTTGCATTATTATCTGTTCCCAATAAATAGCAAATTGTTTCCTGTTGTGACGGGATCCGGGCAACGATATTATAATAGCGATCCTTCAGATGAACGACTCAAGACAAACTACAGTTGCACCAAACAGTTACAGGGAAACCCTACCACAGTCAGCTGCACAACGTAATGAGATTTTAATGAGTTCCTCAGCTGAATGTCTTCATCTCAGCCTTTCTGCATTTTAATCACGGGTGCCCGTCACACCCTGCGAGCACGTCAGCGATATAACAGGCTCAATGCATACCAGCTCTCTCTTATGAAATTCTCCCATACCGAATGTCGGTCACAGCTTCTAACGTCTACATTTTCTAAGATGCGGCCATTTGTATTGCACAAATTATTTTTTTAAAAAAAGATAAGAGGGGGCGGGTCTTACAGCGCTATTGGCTTTACAATGTTTTACATTTTCTGGGTTTTTTCAAGCTGGATGGTTTTGATCTCCTACCCTCTTTGATTGAAGCTAAATGACAGCACTGAATCTGAAATCCCTGAAGGTTTTGGTGAGGTAATTGACATTCTTCAAGAGCCGGGCTGGATCCGCTTGTTGCATTCTGCGTCCCACCCTTCGGCTATAACGTCTTCACCGATTTCGAGAAAACGCGTGTCTAGTGTTCTCGCAAAACCTCGGCAGTGTATAACATGACCTATTGATGATTCGATTATGAAAACTTGTCCTCAATTAGACAACTCAGAACTGTCATCTAAGCAAAATGAGAGACGTCTGTAACATACGTAATCTGTCAATGAACCTAAATTGTCATTGAACGTTTGGTATGTAAGGTGAAGAATCCATGGATATGCAGATAAAATGGCTATTTTTAAATTCACCTAGAGATATATTAAGAACTCGGCGTGTTTCAACACATATGTGTTTTGTTGTTCAATTCTAGTTAGTCATGAAGTGAGGAGATTCATGAACTAAGAAAAGCAAAAGTCGTCCATGGTTGAAATTTTATACATGTAGGCCTAAGTCAGGAAAAAACGCATGACATCATGTCATGCGAAGGGTAACCGTGGTAATGAGGGTAAAGGGTAATGACTGAAGCAATGGATTGAGAGTTTAAAGGATTTATCCAAAACGGGAATGGTACGCAAGACCAGCTAAGGAACAACACAGTGTATTCTAGATTTTACAAGTTGGGTCTTGAGTGTACATTGCCCAAAAGTACGAAGCGTAGACAACGATGCCAAAATGATTTTAGCATAATTGAAGGAACATGAGTAGATTTGCTAGGGATCAACCATACAGCTCGGCCCCAGTTCCTTGATTGTCGAGCTGAATGTCTGGCTGGCTTGATAGCATTATATCCATACTGTTTTTGTAACTCTCCTGTTCCTGCGTACTAACCATGCATCATTTCTTCATCTCATCATAGAGTCATGCCTGCAACTACAGAGGTTCAGTGTCTCACTGCCTCAAGACAAAATCACCCATCAGTGCCGTCGTGCCTTGTCTCTCTGGAAAACGCCCATTCGCTTGGTTGCTTCCGTAATTAAATCCTGACGCTGCGCGCCGGGCGCTACGGACGTACACCGGCCCGCCCGCAGATTTTTGCGGCAATGTGTGATGCGCATTTCCTGTCCATTGGTGTCTTTTATTATCAAATTAGCCGCTGTACCTAACGCCCACGCTTCATTCTCTGTCTAGCAGCGCCACACTGCACCTGTAAACTGGATACGGTGAACTGTGTCTACGGAACGGCTAATACTGCACAGCGGCCGGGCATACTCGCACCTCAGACATACGGCGACCGCCAGTCCACTTGCGACAGGTACTTGTTAGCATTTCTCACTTTTTCTCCATGGCATGGCCTAGCCTCAGTTGCATAAAGCGGAAAGTCGCCTGCCGATCGGAATATCTGCACCAAATAGAGATCTGCTTATGGGTCCCATTGTCATAGACGTGAGAAGAACTCCATTTGTCGAATTTTTTGGCATAACGATCTTTTATGGTAGACATCATCAGATTCCCATTTCGAAGTACAAAAAAATCCTTTTTACGGGTAAAGCAACGGTAACATTCCCAGACATCTGTCTCTATAGTGCAATTTTCATGCAACATTTACGCCTGGAATTTTTCGTCTGTAAATCACACGGAAGATTGGCATCTTTATACCTTAATTCAGGAAGGTAAACGTGTCCCAGATTCAAAAAATCTGCGTATGAAATAGTCGTTAATATCAAAGTAGAGGGAAATTAGCACGATTTCTTGGGTTGGTGGAGTTGTCCGATTAAGGCTTCATTTATGCCTACTGAGCTACAGTGTGGCATGAGGGTGCGTTTGCCAGGCGACCATTTGGTTTTGGTTGCTGATATTTCCGGGAAGCTGAAAAAGTGTAGCCCTGTGCTTGAGTCAGGTAAGGTTCCTCGTTTTGACCATTCTGCACCAAGCAGTCATCTTAGATGCTTTATCTACTGATTGATTGGTTGAACGTTTTGTTTTGGCATTTCACTCCAGTAACTATTATTATCCAGTTATTATCTTGTCGATATTCTGATCACGCCGCTACGCGGCCCTTCCATATTTCTCTTTCTAAATGTTTGTTATCTTTCAAGGCCTTGTGAAATATAGTCATGCAAAAACTGGCTTTTGCATGCATTCACTGAGATTCCCTTAACCACTGTTGATGTGCAGTGAAAAACGAACCGTACACTACGTTTCCAATCCTTCCATTGTTTTGGTTACGGCGACTGTTGTCGCTAATTTATTAAAAAGGGGGAAAGAAATTAAGCTTAACATAATGAGAAATAACTGTTGTGATTTGTTTCTCTTCATGTTAGTGAAGTTATCATATCTTTCAAAGATGAAAGTGAAAATCCTCAGGCGACATGTAAGGATATATGAATCACACGTGACTATCTTATTCCCAAGTGTGGACCAACTTGTCTTTCTGTTAATGACGGATACTTCTTAAACTGAGCTTGATTTACAAAGTCATTTTTTTACCCTTTACTATCAAGATGGTTATACCTTAAGAATATCCTAAATATCCTTCTTTTTTCATGTCTCTCCCTGGAGAGGTGTTGAGTTTCTGGACTAATGGTAGCCTATAAGTTGTCTGTATGTGCATTTTGCGCCCATCATGAAGCCTACAGAAGTTCATTTAAGATACCAAGAGTTTGTTATCAAAATGCAATAAGAACCTTTTGGTATATTCCAAAATCTATCCCGTCTCAGTTGCCTGCAGTCAGTTTTTATATCTTTCAGACAGCTAAGCACAACATCAGTTGGTCAAAATAGTGAAAATGAAGTTTAGAGACACATGGCACACTGCTAAAACTCTTCAGTTTTTCATCATCGTGGAAACATTGCACGTTTTTTAAACAGATATATCTCATTTTGAAAATAAAGCCTTATTACGAACCTATGGGGTATACATTGGTGCAACCTCGTCCCCACTGATAACTTAATTTCCAGCTGGCTTTTGTAGTAATCCCAGAAAGGAAATTTTCATCCTATATCTGATGCAGCGACACACAGGATACGATTTTTCTCGTGTTTTGGTATTTACATGTTTAACTTATATTACTTTTTTTCTACATTAGCTGGGAATTATGATATCGACGTTTTGTTTTAAACAATCCTCTTTTCTCCAGTTTGATTTAAACTACAAAAAATGTGATAATGCACATTGGTCAGATGAATAACTTTATATCTTTGAAACATCGCGTTGTCCAATATAACACACCGTGAAGAAATGAAGACTGTGAATGTCAGACACCGTATAATAAAACGTTCGCTAATTGAAAACGCGATCGGGTACCACACAAACAAATCAACAAACAATAGTCTAAACTGCAATTTCCTCTTTATTTTACCATGGACCACAAAGGTTCATCAACATACGTGTCCAAATTTGTTGGAGATGCAGATGATCCGATCTCACGAGTAGGGAGCCGTGGATTCGAACTGCTCGACACCATGGGTACGAGGTTGCCAGAGGGCAAGGATCGCTTCTGTAGAATTCGAGCGCGGTGTCATGCACTAATTCGCTGTGAGACGTTCTGTTCTGAAAACATTAGTGGTTCATAAGGGAGTGTTGTGGATAAAATGAGACACCTTTGTTGTCTATGGTAAAATAAAGGAGAAGTTGCAGTTTAGAATGTCGCTTCATGACCGAGGACAATATTGTACACCGTAGACTCCCCATCCCGTTATAGCTTTGCATGCATTTTAGCAAAATGTGAATGCATGGACTCAGAAGCGCATATCGCAGATATGTAGACCTAATTGATAAAGTATACGGTTGACTGGTTGCACTCGTGTACAGTTGGTTCACTCCTTGTCTCGTCATTCCCTCGTTGACCAAGTGGGGAAAAAATAGCGTGCTTGTCCTCAATCCCTGGTTCGTTTTCAGCTGAAGGAAAGTTATTTTGTGTCAGGTTTTCGTTATTTCATTTGTTTTTTAATGTTATCAGTGTAACCAATAAAGGGAAATGTCTTTAAATGTCAAATTATTTTCAGTAAAATAGTAAAAGGTCTTTAAGACAAACGTATGGAAAGATTAGACCCCTTGGTACTTTTACTGCAAAAAAACCCTGGACGTTAGACAGGTACATTTTATACATTCCTCCTACACAGTGACAGTATGTTGTGGTCCTATTCTAACCGTCGACTCCTAGCCTTCTGCACCATTGTAGTCTGGGCCCATTGCGGGCTTGCGTCCGCAGACACACCAGCAAACTGCTCCTTCGATGCCATCAGCGGAAAATGGATGTTTTATATCGGCCCGGTAGGTGGTACATGTAATTATAATGTTTCCTCACCGAGATTTAAGGTCAACATATTAAACGTCATGGAACTGCCGATGCTACACAAAGTTTCTCGTATTTACCAGGAAGCCATGAGTGTGAATGACTTCCCAAAAAATGTACGGTCGCCATTTTCACAAATAGAAAGGTTCTAAATTTACGGAATTTTACCGGAAAATGTTATCTGGCATTTTGTGTGTATACTTTGCGGGAAATTGTTGACGTCTATGCTAAAAATAGTCACAGTGTTGTGCAAATATGCTTGGTTAAACGACTTCAGAAATAATATGACCATCAGTATAAACTTCTGGTAGTCACAGCGGTTCGGTTGAGAACCGAACAAAGAATGAAATTCACTCATGAAACATGACCCTGGAATGAGTCTTGTTCCTTTTTATCCTGTGTGCTACTTTAATTCGTTAATTGAACTCCAGGGAGGCCACACGAACAAGATCAACTGCTCTCAGCCATGGCACTCTGTATCTCAATGGAGCGTCATGCTGCATTTCCCGGATGTTGCAGTTGATAAGAACGGTAATAACTAGTCCATAACTCAATTTGAATTTCGTCAGAATTGCCCCCCCCATACCAAATGTATGGAATAGTTCACAATTGCTGTTGTTGTTGGTTCTGGGTTTGGATTTAGGTTTGGTGTGATTTTGGGTTTGTTTTGGATTGGTTTTGGTTGGATTTTTGTTTTGGTTCTGATTCTGATTTTAGTTTTGGTTTTGAGTTTGGGTTTGGTTTTAATTTTGAAATTGGGCTTGGTGTTTTTTTTTGGCTTTGGTCTTGGTGATGAGCTTTATTTGAGTGTGGGATGGTTTGGTTCAGTTCGGCCCAGAAAGCATAGAATACGCATTATAACGATCAACTTCTTTTCAAGCAGTTGGAAAATAAAGCAGTATGAGAAACTACCAACTGGGTTGGTATCAAGAACGAATCCTTCCTTTTTCATAGTCATTCACGTCGCACCTTCCACTGCAGGTTTAACTGGATTTTGGACGCTGATCTACAACCAGGGGTTCGAGGTTGTCATCCATGGCCGCAAGTTCTTTGGCTTCTCGGACTACGAGGTGATCAGTCGGAAACACGTCATCAGCCTCTGCAATATCACCAAAGGATGGGTGCATAATAGCGATGGGCGGAACTGGGCGTGTTTCCGGGGTGTGCGTGTCTCGGGGCCAGGGGTCGCCGACCCCCCAGCGAGCTACACAGTGGAGAATGTGGACGAAAAGCGGCTGTACAAACAGAACGAAGATTTCATAGAGAGTGAGTAATAAAGGAACAACAAAATGGAGTGGGTTAAATCTTTGTGAGCCCCCCCCCAAAAAAAAATGGGGGAAGAAGAAAAAAAATCGGTGAAAAGGCGAGACAAACAAAACAATTACAAGAGTTGATAAGAATCACGTATGCAGTTCACGTGCGTGTTTAGTGGGGGATGAAATTAATTTCATTTTAAAAACACATTTCCTAATTTATACAGAAATAAATCAGTACCAGTCCAGCTGGAACGCCAAGAGGTACAGTATGTACGATAACCTCACGATGGGGGATATTCAGCGCAGGGCCGGCGGCAGGAAATGGAAGAATGCCTATCCTCCGCCAACCATCCCTGATGAAAAGACCAGAGCTGGTAAGAAATACATCGTGGTCTCATCACGATAAGACATGATTCACTTAACCCTCAGAGCCGGGGGATCCGTATTTTTTCCAATGTCAGAGCATACACTTATACGGTAATCTGGAAGCGAAGTTCGAATCCTACTTCCAACGTTTGAACGTTAGCATTATTATGAGTATATCATTTTGCTGAAACTCCCAATCTTATGTCCCAATGGCGATAGTGGCTTTTTTCAAGCTCTAAGTGGTTAGAATTACAGGAAAATCCGGGGTCAATATATCAGAGTGTGCCCAACACCTGACCCGACTAATCACTGCAATCGAAGAACTTTTTTTCGGTTTTTAATTTGATGTTTTTTAGGGGGAAAATGAAACCGTTAGCAAAATGGCAGTAGCTTCACCGTATGGTTATATGCTAAGCTAATAAGCAAGGCTTTCCAATGTCTATAACACTGTTTACTTTCCCTCGAATAAAACAAACATTAACGCTTAAGATGTCAGCAGGAAATCAGATAACTTCTCAAGACTAATCTATACCAACAAGAAAACGAGATGACGTTTAAAAAGAGTGCCGTCAAGATTCGGGTCTGAGACGTCCACCATTAGCACTCACTTCCTCTACCCAACACTCTACACAAGCCAGTTTGACTGACCGTCTTGTTCCCTTCTTCTGTGCACATACTACAATAATACTGCTCAGGCTTTGACTTCATTTAGGTGCCTGTTATGATCACAAGCCGGTACCGGTGCGCCTTGAGCAGTTGACGTAAATGTCATGCTTATTACTGTCGCCATCACCCGTCAACAGAGAGGGGGGGAAAAGGGCCTTAGCCATCACGACAGCTTCGTAACACCACGGACGCCTTCTGGTTCACGCGTCCTCTTCTTAGTGTGTGTCACTTCCTTCTGTCTGCGTGAGACGCTTTTTCGCGACATTTTGAGCCAAAATTCCCCATTCCTATCCACAAGTAATCCAGCAAGTTTCCGAGAGGCAGAGAAAATGATGGAATGGCATGGCGGTTAAGTAGCAGTCTTTCAGGCTATTTCTTAATGGTCTGTTAGCTGCAACCTTTCACAGAGAATGCCTGAATCGTGGATTTCTTTTTTTTCAGAAATCTTTAAACCTTTAGGTTCAACCGCCGCCAACAGATGTTTTAGTTGTGATGAAATGCATCATTTGCCACAGATTTTTTTTGAACATTAATAGCTTGAAGGTGACAACATGTCAGGGTGCATTTGGATCAATCTCAAATTCAATTCAATTCTGTCTTTCAGGCGCAGAATAATCCTAGTTGTATCCTTGCCAACAAGCATGTAGTGTCCTTAGCAGATGTTGAATTTCTTCTGACAGAAGTGGACTGAGATACCATTTGCTCGGAATTAACAGCTGGCAGTTGCTAAGAACTTTCTTATTCTTTACTGTGAAAAGGTTGATTTGTTAATGTTGCCCAATGTAATAACAGACGATATCAAAATTACCTTGGAATTTCCCAATGACCGGGAAATTGTTAGAGAAAAAATTAATTCATCTTCCACAAGGCAAGGTCACTGTACGTGTTCGCATGTTAAGCAAGACATTGGAGACACATTGTCAAAAGTTTGCTCTTTCTTTCCCAGCCGCCCTTGGCTCTGTTTCTGTCGCAAACCTCGATGCCATACGCAACCTCACGCGCGCGCTTTGTTCCCGAAAGACCTTGCCTTTTTAAAATACCAAGCTGGCCCATCAGAATCCACAAAATTTACAAACTATCTCTGCTTACAAATTTGAAGACACCCAGCGGGCGAACTATCCCGAACCATTTATGAGAAATGACACAAAGGCTACGAGTCAACTAAAAGTCTCAGTACTGATTCGTTGCAATCCTTTTGTCAAGATGCAAATGTCTTGCATCGAGGAGTGACGCGTTTCGTTATTTAAAGGTTAACAGAAATTAAAAACATTTAGTTCACGTGAAGTATTTCAAAACAATAAATACGTAACCATTTCAAAAACATCATCAATTCAATGTTTACCATAATAATCGTGACCCCAAAATGAATAAAAAAGATCCCGCGTTTCCCCGGCCGTTCGCGCTCCCAGGCTGATTTGATGACGTCATCGGCAGTATAGTGTACATGTACATTGCATGATATAACACATAGAACATGTACATGCAGTATCGCACGCTTGCAATAGAACATATTGAGTTCGATGTAACTCGGCCACAGGCAAACACCGTCTTGGTTCAAGGCACAGTCTTACCCTGTATTTCTTGAACTGGGCTTAAGATCCATGTGTACCATGAATTCTATACAAAGTATTATTTTAAACTATTTCTGTCGACAGAAAGTGCGAACCTTCCTGATCACTTTGACTGGCGCAATGTGGGGGGTGTCTCGTTCGTTCCACCCGTGCGGGACCAGGGCATCTGCGGCTCGTGTTACGCCTTCGCCTCCACGGCACTCCAGGAGTCCAGGTACCGGGTCTTGACTAATAACTCTATTCGACTGGTGCTGTCACCTCAAGAAATCGTCAGCTGCTCCATGTACTCTCAGAAGTGTGACGGCGGGTTTCCATACCTGATTGCAGGTAAAGAAAAGTTCGCACGACGACTTAGTTTAACCCAGTTCAACCAGCATTACTCGGACGATGGATGGTTAGACTCGTTTATAGCTGACCATTTGTATAACAGATCCTTGGGCACGCTTGCATCACTGGTAGCCATTTTTGTTGAAGAAACAGGAGAGCCGTTGACATGGTAACAGCTGCAAAGCATGCATGGCAGAGACCAGAGAAATGCAAATAACGGCAAAATGTGAGTGACATTGGGATTTCGCCAAAAACATGGTTGACTAGTAGGACTGTTTTGCTCGTACATTAACATGAACAAGTTGATTAGGTCAAACTATTTGCGCTTAGTGCTTATACAATAATTGTGTTCTTAAATTAATTACAATTTCATCAGGAAAATATGGCCAGGACTTCGGGCTAGTAGACGACTCTTGCTTCCCGTACACGGAGTATAACGAGCCGTGCCGGCCCGTGACCTGCCGCCGCTTCAAGACATCTGACTACCGCTACATCGGTGGCTTTTATGGCGCCTGCAACGAGGACCTGATGAAGATTGAACTGCTCCGGAATGGCCCTGTCGCTGTCAGCTTCGAGGTCTATGACGATTTCCTGTACTACAGGTAAGCCCAAGCTTAATAACAGCCACGTGACTATTTGTGCACATGCGCAAGGGTAGTTGCAATGTTGTAAAAAAACTGTTGCCCGCTATCAAGAATGCAACGGTGACAACTTATTTTTTCCATTTATATTTTAATAAATTCGTGCGCATTAAAATACAGAATGGCTGAATTTTAGTCGGGAAGCTTTTCCATGTAGACTTTTGCGTCACTGCGAGAAACTGTATATGGTTTACATGGGACATGAATGATGCAAAACAACCGTAAAGGTGTCTTTACTGTGTGTGAATATACGCCTTCCAAAACAGTGCGTTCCAGCGTTGATGAACGAGCCTATATGCATTGTCATTTTAACGGAGTGTGTTGATGTGTCCCCGTCAACCATTTTATCTTTGGTTATGTCATTTTAAGGGGTATTTTGTGTCTTTAATGCCATGCAAATATCTATATTTATAAGCGAAACTGCGATGTTGTTCTGGGCAAATCTGCACCAACAAATTCTAAAAAATCTGGATATTTTGCTGTCGTTCATTTTAATTCTGGAGTCATTCTTTTTGAAGCGAATCTGGGTTTCCAATTTCAAAAGAAAGTCACAAAACTGAAAAAGCCTCCCAGAATTAAATCACAGCAGAACCCCCCCACCGTAAAAACAACATTAGTTTTGACCTTTTTGTTCCCATGTTTTTAGCATGTTTTAACCCACGAAATGTTTGTTGTGTGTCTAGGCACGTGTCTAAATGCTGAAGGCTCTTCCGTGGTACATGCTCGCCTTTTTAATTGCTAAACGCAATAAAAATGTTCGTTAAAAAAGTGTCACAGCAGCTCTCTGGAAAATTGTTGAAAATTTGAAATGATTAATGAAGTGTACCTTCCTTTATGTTACAGTTAATAGACAAGGGAAGACATATAGTTGTACATTAATGAAAGGAGCAAAAAGTGATACAAATGTTAGAAAAAATCATCGCACGGACCCTTTAAAATACTTGCAAGCACAGAATTGTATAGACGTATTACAAATTGTTTTACGTCGTCTTCATAAATACACTGTCATCTTCTTTGCCAGGGGCGGCATTTACAAGCACACAATGCTGACAGATCGGTACAACCCCTGGCAGACAACGAACCACGTGGTACTGGTGGTTGGCTACGGCTACGCTGGGGACGACCCGGACACCGGCGAAAAGTACTGGATCGTACAGAACACGTGGGGCGAGAGCTGGGGCATGGAAGGGTACTTTAAAATCCGGAGGGGAACGAACGAGTGTCACATTGAAAGTATGGCTGTAGCGACACTGCCTCGTCCATAAAGCAAATAATAACACCATACTTAGCTAGATCCATCCGTTGGAGTGAGAACAGGATACAAAAGTGGATACAAAGTGGTCATTCTAATGACCATGCAGATTAGTGAAATTTATCATTTCAAGTTTACCACGCTGGTATTCACCTTAGACACGGTTTGAAACCTCCCACATATTATTTGGCCTTCAAACCAACCACAGTAGAAACAGAACAACCGTCAATGCGTGGTACCCTGACGTCACTACACGCCTATCTAGTCTTTCTATGTCCTGGGCGTTGTAAGAGCTTGCTTATTGGCACAATAAAAACAAAAGCACTAAACCTCTTCAACATTTGCAGTGCATCATGGGACTGAATACCAACGAGCCATATATGAACCTAAGGAAGTGAAGCAGCCAGGTGAAGTGAACCGATCAAACGTAAAGTAACATCTTCTTCAGAAAAGTAGTGAAGTACCTTTTGATCAAGTCGCTGATAACTGCATAGAACATATATATCATTATATACACATATGAACTGGCAATTCGGTCACTAGTGCACGTCTATGTCCCTGAGGGGCCGTAAGTGACCAGAAGGGGGTCTTATTTTCCTCAGCCTTCGGCCTCGGGGCTTCTTGTCACTCACAGGCCCGAAGGGCATAGGTGTGTACCGAATTTGGCCAGTTGGTATGTGTTTAATAACACACTTCAAACTAGAAAAATGGTCTTTCAGGGTTTAAACTGTTTTAATTCAACTTTCTATGGCATTTCAAAAATTGAAGAAAAAAAATTAAAGGCTCATTTTTTAGTGTCCCGTGACGCAGTCTAATTTTGAGTTGCTATAGGGCCCTCAACAAGGAAGAGAATTTTTCCAGAATTTGAACTGTTTAAATTCAACTTTTCACCCAATATCATTTCCAAAAATTTCGTTTTAAAATGAACCATAGCAACCTCCAGAGGGCGCAATAACCAGTCAAGACTATAGTGCCTGACCGGGCACTAGACGCTAGATTTGATGCGCACGCATGTCTAAGGGCGTGTCGAGTCACACTGATGCCAAATTCATCTACTAACCCATATTAGTGAACCACGCTTGACAGTATTTCAGCCAACCAAGATAAAGAACAGGAAGATGTGCGGTTTAGCAATTGTACTAATAAAAAAGACACGGTCCAGTCACTGTACGTTAAAAAATTAAAAACGTGATTGATTGCAAAAATGCATAATTAGCGTTATCTGTCGTTCAATTCCATGATGCATTGCAAATGTTGAAAAGGTTTATTGCTGCTCTTCTAAAGGTATGCCATATTGCATATTAAAAGCTTGTGTATTTGGCTAGTTTAGCATTATAATGATGCACGTGACGCATGCATACAGCTAATAATATAAAGTATTAAAAAATATGGTACCAAAAGCCTTATCTTAGAGTTAAGCAGGTGATAAAACAACCTCATGGGTTATCACTCTTGCTGTTTTTTGTAAATAGGCTTAAGAATAATTATCATTTTCAAATACGCATTTATATCAATTTCTGTATGCCTCCCTTCCAAGACCCGTTCTGACAATTACATCCGGTGCTTCGCAGTGTCATATTGTATTGGTTTATTTGAGGTTCATAACTGTAATGTAAAACTGTTTAATTGTTTGGGGTTTTTTAAACGTGAAGTTGGGATGAGGATTGCTTGGTTAGAGTTTTGACCAGACAGCAAAGAAAATTCATGCTTTTGTGTGACAAGTAAAATGTTCTCACTTGACAATGGCCGCACAAAGGCCAGTTCATACTTTTAAGAAAACGGAAAAGCGACGCCAATCTGACGCCGGGAAGAAAGTGTTTAAAGTTTGCGCTTTGGTAACACGATGTCACAATTTCGCTTTCACAATCGCTATCGCACCTAGAATGAACCGGCCTTTAAAAGTTGTGATCATTTTTAAAGTTTCTTGAAACGTCTACGCGTAGATGCCAGTGATTATTTTATATAATAAAAATCAATGCTCACAATAATTAAAGTAAAGGTACGTTATGAATATTGACATATTAAATCACTCTTCGCATTTAACGTGACGTGGTGCAAAGCTTTATGCAGTAAGCCAAGCCCAGTTCGTGAGAAGGTTAACTGCTGAGTGTGTTCATTGGGAACACAAAATGACACACTCTAATCTCCACTCAGCCTTAGGGAAGCAAATAGATCCTATGCCTTGTGTAAACCTTTGTTTTGAAACATTGGCTGCTATCTCGAATGGCTGGCTAAGGTTTGGAGCGAGTTTAAACCTAGTTAGCAGCAACGTCTGCCTTAAAATACACATTTTCTCCACGAACGTCAAATTGAAGAGTGGAGCCTCTAAGTGTTTCAGTAACTAATAGGGATAGAAAACTGCATAATATAAAGACAAGGTAATATCTTCAGGCGAATAAGCAGCCAAGTTATCGGCACCAAAAAATCGCTAAAATTTGCCGGAAATAAAGTTTGGCCACACTGTAAAAAAACCAACGCCCATTATAAACGCATCTTTGCATAATTTGATTGTAAACATGTAACCGTTTCAAAACATTTATTGGGAAATAAACGTGTTTCGGCATTGTGTCTTGTTATTAATTTTGAGAAAAGTATTAACTAACTATTATTCGCCTTACGATTTGTTGCATTCGATCCCCGGCCCCATTCGAGAAAAATACTGAAAACAGTGTTTAATTAGCAGCATCCGTAAGCCCCACTGAGACTCTTACATCCTGGCCTTAGTGTAGGACTACACTATGTACTTGTATGGTTCAAAAATAACGTTTTGTAAAAACTGAAATTATTTAATTTAAAAAACAGCTCCTTTACAGTTCCAGAATATTTTATGTTGGTGGTGAAGATGAGATCATAATTTTATTAGTATCACATCGTGTAGTTAAGTTGGAAATGCAGGATCTGAACCCATCCGGGGAAAGATTAGTAAAAAAAAAAGATTTTTAGGTTGAGAACCTTACGTCGAGTGCCGATTTTTATCCTGAGTCGAGTCCGTGAATTATCTTTATGCTGTCGTATACCATCTAAGTGTGATGGAAAGGTGTAACTAAGCAAAACTTTGTCCCGAATTACGAGGTATAGCAGCAGTGTTAGTATGGAGAATTTAAATTGTTCTGTTCACGTGAATTTAAAGAACTCAGTGAGCCAGATTTTACTCAAATTTCACTCGCAATGGGCTTATTGACTTTGGTACGGGAATAGGTGTTGATGTAGAAAGTGAAGCAAGTGAGATCCAAAATTCTTTCACACCCATGTTACCTGCACAAATTCCTTTTAAAGAGCACCTCTAAGGAAAACATGTGTAACCGAGGGGGAAACTAATAACAAAAAGGAACAGGAATGTGGCGGCACAAGAATCCTGGCACAGATATATGTATATTATTCTATTTCTATCCCAACGAGTATGGGATATTATATGAGTAAGATTGAATTATTTTTACAGGGAAAGTATTTCTATTAAATAAAAAACGACAGCCAATACTAGGTGATCTGCAAGAGATCTGCAAAAGATAATACAAGAAGTTTCATAAATACATGTAAAATTCTTCCTTCAACCTATATAACATGTTTACAGGATGACACCAGTTCTTTCACAAATATTAAGGACACTTAAGTACACGCACTTATTACAACATTTCATTTGCAGTTTCGATAATAGTTTCACCAGATTCATGCATGGTATATGAATAATTTAGAAAACAACCCAACTAACGAACATGAAGGATGTGGGACACATACTCCCAGTATTATTTAGTTTCATAAAACCTACCAACTACAAAGCTGAGGCTGGCAAGTGCCAACAGTTACCAGCTGCCAGTACGGGTACTATAAACTGCAAATGTCAAGATGCTGTAAGATAAAAAAAGGAAATTTCGTACAATATGCATGTAGAGTGTATAGTGTTATGTACATATCACTTCTTTATTCTTCTCGATCAATCTATCAAGAGACATCTATCCAGAGACATATACACGTGGCTGTAATTTGCTCAAATAATACACATGTAACTGTCATATCCTTAGCGTTCCTAGGCACTTATTTAATCAAAGAAAATGTGCATATGATAACTGAATTTTTTTAGATACATATTTCACACAACCAATAATTTTCATGCACTCCAATTACAAGAATGGAAGTGTTCATGTGGACAGAGCAACAGATAACCCCAGCCTCAAGCCTGATATGTGTCTGAAATGCTGATACATGCATCTCAACTTCTCCATGTATCTTTAGCTTTTGTTTTTTCTCTCTCAATGAGTTAAAACACATTGCCAAAGAGTCAAGACAGTGTGTAGTGTACATGTAACAAGGAAGACTATTGCCCAACTCATTAACCCTAACACTCCTCAGTCCTCCAACAGGTGAAGGATTGAGGAGTGTTAGGGTTAATGATCAAGCTATCTCCAAATGCACCCGATATTCATGCCATATGCGAATAAGGTTTCAAGTATAGAACGGTTGTAATACGTTACCTGTATCACACAATCTATTAATTAATATAAAGAAAGCTCTAACTTACCCTCCAGCTGATCATGATTTGCCAATCAACACGGCAATGGCCATACCAGTTAGTACCTCATACGCGTATGTAATGTACATGTATGAGAGCTGGAGTACTAGAGACTGAGTTGGCAAATGATGCTTGCTCTAAGGTGGCTCTGCAGCAGAGTGACTCAGTTTTGAATATCTCCAATAGTCACCCCATGCCCTACAAAGGAGGGTGGTGCAGTACCAAGCTGCACATTTTGGTTGAATGCAGGGCAGAGTCAAATGTTTATTCAGATCGCCAGCATGGGTGCATATACCCAGCAAGAAATGAGACCGAGGGGTACCCCTCCAACATGTCCAATCTCTATACACATTCCAGACTATTGTTACTTAACACCCCCCCCCAGATGTCCCCAAAAGGAATTCCCCAGATTCCTGCGAGACAATGACCAACACAAAGTAGGGGGGGGTTCTCTCCGTCTCATACCTTGCTGCATATGTGGGTGCATGCCCAGCTGCATAAATTGCTACTGCCCACAACTGTCAAGAGGGTATGAGAATAATGTAATGGCAGAGGGCGCTCTATTCAGTGTTGCTACAAGGTTTCATTCAGTACATGTATAATAAGTTACATTTGCAAGACAGTGAAGAAACCAGGTGACTCATAGTTGACCGCTCATGCTCAATAAGTGAGAGAAAAGAGAAATGTCACAGGGAAGTGGAGGGACCAGGTGACCTAAGTGGGTCGACTGGTCACACATGTTTTCTCTGATTTTATCTGTTCAAATAAATATGGGAGTATCCTAATCGAACGCAGTATCATTTGTCTTCAGAGCTCAACTATAACAAGCTAAAAAGGACTGTTTTTTTCTTTTCATGCCAAGATGCAAATTCTGAATGTAGATTGCGTCACTGAGGAGAAAACTAAGAAAACGAGAGAAACCCTCGCCCTGTGTTCGTAGTGGATACAGCCTTGCGCATACCAAACAATGGCTACATGCATTTTTGGCGCGCATGCACATTCCTAAATGAGGCTACATTAAGAATTTGCATCTTGGCATGAACAGGAAAAAGTCCTTATTAGCTTGTTATAGTTGAGTTCTGAATACAAATGACACCGCGTTCGATTTGGATGCTTCCATATTTATTTGAAAAGATAAAATCAGATAAAGCATATTTCCTTAGAGGTGCTCTTTAATGTGATGCTTATTTCCAGATAAATTTTGGTTCACCCCGTTGAGTAATGCATGCATGTACGTGTTGCAGCGGTGTTGGACAAATTTTTCATAGTGGCATATCTCTGTTATTTTCCCTTTAGAAATTTTCAGGAACCACTACACAAAATAATGATGCACGATTTGTTGAACTCAGCCTCGTGTGGTTTCATGCTGACGCAGATGCAGCCTTACATGACGCGTAATCAACTTGGACAGATCTCGCGGGGACCGCACGACAGAGCATTAATTGGACCCGTCACCGCTTGTTGGTGGTGCGCCTGCGCTATTGAAGAAAACAAAAGGTAGTCCTTTCATAACCGTGTTGAGTGAGTCTTACAGTGAATTTTATAAGCTGCGCATTTTGCTGAGCGGTACTTCACTGTCAAAGGGTTTTCTGCGACGCAACTCCAGCGGTGACCTGCCAAGCAAGTACCGGTACCTGTCGGTGGAGCAAACGGGCTCTGTGTGCCGTTCAAGTTGTCAATCCCGAGCAGGGATTGCCAAGCGACAAACACAAGCACCGCCATCCCCTGCATGTAGGTTTCGCATTCACCTGCTCACTCTCTGATCGACATTCTGAAAACCGACAGGGGTTTCGGTGCACGCACTCAACGCAAGATAAATTCCTCGATGCCGAGATGCGAGTATGATACCGTCCATCTACCGCATGGATCCCCTTATTGGGCAGTTTAGCAACCTCACCCTCGATATGAGGAACCAGAAGACGCAGAGTAGCCACAAAAGGTTAGCCGTGGGCTCCCGGCCTAAGGCTAAGATAACGCCGCTTGGTACTGATGTTATCGCAGCGCCCACCGATAAAGCTGCACCGGAAATTCCGAACAGGCTTACGGCAACAGGTTGCTCCGATGAAGCAGAGTCCGGGACAGAATCTGACTGGTTCGTCAAGCGCTACATCGACAGCCTCCCCGTGCGTCCTGACAACACTTTAACAAAACCGGTGGCACGCCGAGGCTTCCGTTGGATCCTCTCAAAAAGCCTGACGAGCGCAAGCCTCCAGAGTGACGGCGAGGACAATGCGTCGGGGCGACGCAAGCGGCTGGTCGACCGTCTCCCTTGGTCAACCCCGCTGGCGCCTCCAACCACGAAGAAGCTACGCACTCCAGACAAGAATCTGTCGTTCACTTCGAATAAGTCCCGAGAGCTACCGCCCCTGTACAACGCCCAACTCCATGCGTCCAATTCAGTGCTTGGAAACATCTTTGAGAACGACGAGGGAGAGGACGGAAGCGCCGCCGATACAATCGTCACCAATTCCCTACACCAGTTCATTCCTAGCCCACCGCTCGCACTACCACCACTGACAACCGGCAGACACACGGATACGAGTTCTTCACTTCTTCACTTCTCAAAAACTGACTTCCTTTCCTCTGTCAATAGCGACATTGGGCAAACAGAGGCAGTTCCATTGCCACTCATTCACCGGAATGGCAACCAGGGAGAGCCTGCCAGAGGGTTGCCGAATGTGAACGGTGAGGGAAAGACACGAGCGGATTCCTCGGTTCTATGCGCAGTTGGTAACTGCACAGGTGGTGAGGAGACCGTGGGATGCCTCTTCGGATTAAAAGACTCCGACACGATCGAGGAAGACTACGTGACATTACGGGAGGAACACTCGGCCAAGAGGCCCGTAGACGATTCAAGCAAAGGCAGCTTCAATGGCAAGCCCCCAGCGCCGGCGGCCACAACGGGCAAGAAACGGGTGACGTGGTCCAAGACCTTACCACGCCGCGTAGGTTACGCCGTCTGCAGCTTCCACCCGTCAGAATTCGCCAATTCGGCCCCTCGTCTAGCCCAGCAAGACACTAGAGGCAGCCCTAAGCAGCACATCAAGAGACGGCAGGCCTGTTGCCTCGAAAACGACCCTGCGCTCAGCCTCGTACATCTCGCCATGACCGACCGCAAGTACGCCAAAACCGACTGGAGAAGTAAAGCGAGAATTTCTGTTTCCATTTTCCAGTCAATGGGACGGAAGTAAATTCCCCTCCTTAAAGCGTACATTATTTCTTCACGAAGTTCTTGTTTACTCTTAAAACAGCTGAACGTAATTTTTGAGGTATGTGCGTTTAGGCATACATGTATTTAAAATTACCTGAGCTAGTATCTTCCGATACCTTCACATCTACATTTACAACGAAAGCGTCACTGTTGATAACCATCTGGTCTTTGTTTAGTTGTCTGTATTTGCTAGCTTGTACGTTAGTTTGTGATCGAAATTTACATGCACTCGTTCTAAAAACTGCCAGTCACTAAAGAGGTCACATGTTCTTGGCGACTATTTTTGGTCAGCATAAATAAAAACATGTATTTCAAATGCCTTCATATTTTGTGCCACTTCATGTCTCATTAATTACAGTCATTGCAATGCTCCAAGTTGAGATTTCGTGGGTAGTTGAAGACTTTTCCTTTTTTTTTCTCGTGTCGATTATCCGTGAGCACGCAAGAGCCTGGAAGCTATCTTCTTCCAGCTTCGTGAGCGAAACAAACAAGATATTAGTGTTTTGTTTGTTAACCTAGGCTTCTTTATAGATGAAAGCCAAGGCGATCGTATTATGTGCATTTTGGAAAACAAAATAGTGCCGATGGGAGGCATTGGTTGAATAGTAAGTTGTAGAGTTGTTTGTTCTTGACAATTAGGGACAGCGTTTGCCCATCCATTTCCAGGTTTTGCCACGCAGTAACGTGAAAATTGGCGGACCACACGGGCAAGGGCGTCACGTTTTCGGGTCGATCGGTCCAAGAACCCTTAATTTCGCCTTTGACTTTTATTGATAAGCAGAATTCGCCAAAGATGGCTATTTGGCGCTTTCAAAACGGTGACAGTTTTCTTTTGAAGGACCCAACACCGCCGTGGTGTAGGCCTACTTCCATGTAAAAACGGCTCCGGGCTAATTTATTACGTAGCAGTAATATTGTGTTAAAACCCACTGCTGGATGTACCGTTAGATCTCACAGCTAATAGGTAGCAAGTGTTTACGTAACAATTATTGATGTAAACTTAAACGCGATGTGTATGTGCTGCCCCGTCTTATCATGTTTAGAACAGGACTATCGTGTTTTTAATTTAAGAATTGCAAAGCAGTGATAAGCAGTTGCATGTACATGTACTCACTTTTAACATTTACCTTTTTATGTACTGTTACGATCCCAGTTGATCCAATTGTTTTGAAAAGGTGTGTCTCCCCGAAAAAGGTATTTTGGAATTCACGCACGTTTTTGTAACGTACAAAAGATTCCGTAGTCATTTGTTTCTCCCTCTGTCAGTGCCTATATGGTCTTAGCATGTGCGTTCCAAAATAGCCAGCTTTGGTTAAGCATCTCCGTGTCGTCTTCTCCTCTGCATCGGCAGACCGTGGCCGAGGCTGACACTGCTGTGGGACCGTTGACCTGGAGTGCCGTGACTCCAATCAGAAGCCGAATCTCGAGGACCGACACCAACCTACCTGTCTGAGCTGGGCTGTTCTGGCGCGGGGTGTGGAGGTGGTTTGCCCGACGACTGTGCTCGTGTAGCCATGGCACTGAATAGACGGGGCCTCATCTTTCTCGTCTTTGTTTTGGGCTCCTTAAGGTTATGCTCGGCCGAATATAATTTGCTTCGTTGTGCATTAACATGTTTTTGCCGGCTTGCTAATTTTCTTTGTATAATTGTGCTTGAGTGTGCTAATGTAAATAGTTTTGCTTTTATGCTTTTGCTTGTCCCAATTCACGGTGTTCTTGCATGAGAAGTTTAAGTTGCAAAAAACCACTAGATTTACTTTGCATTTAGTTATTGCTTTGCTGGTTTAAGTGTCGTTTCAAATTAGTTCCTTTGCCGGCCTTTGTTACCCGTATTTTAGTGTCCTTGTTCCCGTGTTTTGATTTTCTTCTGCCGTGCGTTCTCCGTACGTAACTGTTTTGTTTTGTATAAAACCAGGCGGGTTCGTGATCAGAACGGCAAGACAAAAGCGCGTACTTGTACTCATAAGTGTCAGGAGAAATAAATGCATGTGGAACACTGGTTGCTTACTTGTTTTCTCTGTGTCTTTCGTATATCTCTCCGCGAGGCTGAGAAGAGTACCAGGACACGCGATACCAACTCGAAAATTACAACTACCCGGTTCAGGTTTTTCCTGCTAATTCCATACAACCCTTTTGAAAACGAAGAATACTGGTTATAAACATGAAACAACAACAGCATGTATATTTTGCTCAAAGAATGCCCCACAGTAGCTCCATATTTCTATTGTTCAACACAACGGAGCGCGGAATGCTTCGCTACCAAGAATCACATGGCGTCAACGACTATGATGCACGCGTTAAACGGTCGCATCGCTGCCAACAAAATGAACACTCACACTCCCCACCAATATGGCTCTTTTCAACCGATGAGGGGGTGCTTCTACTCAAGGCGGTTAACATCCATAAAAGCATATCGTCATTCTTAACCACACGTCGTCTTACATCCCACCTTACAATGATCTTTCTCTTTTACAGTGCGCATAAAGGAGCCTCGAGTACAAGTCTGTGACATTTGAGAATACAAACGTACATGTACGTACATGTGTAGGCATGTTGACTGAATTGTGGGAAATATACCGGGACTTCGTGCAATGAAACATACGAACGTGACACCTATTTATAGGCGATATGGAATGATGCCAAACACTCTGATTCATAATATCCCCTCGTTAAAATCGTGCACCAAGTCATCATCAATCCACCCAATTTCGACCAAGGGGGGTTGGGGGTTAACCTCCCGTTCTGACACCAAAAAAAACAACTAAATAAATAAAATGATGGTAACAATACTCCGATGGCATCCTGGAAGGGTTATATTTTGTAGAGTACTTCAATAACAATGTAATGCATCATCTACGTGTCTGCCTGTCCGCAATAATCCGACAAAAAAATCTAAGGGATTGACCCCCCCCCCACGCATGGATCCTCCCTGGGCCTTCCTTATCCAGTCATGAACCAAGTCTTACATTATCCATTGGCAGACCCCTTGGGGACCACGCCCTGATAAAGGGGACTATTTCTGAACCCCTCCTTCCCAAACAGCCTAAACATTTAGCCTCATCCTTCAGAAATCTTGATCTTCTCTTGACTGCTTGAGGTCATCCGCACAGACTGTGACAAAGTCCTGGAGTGCCCTCGTGGAGGCCTATTTTCGATATTTAAATGCAGTGACAATCAAAGCACAGGGAAATATAATCCAAACTTTGAGCAAGACAATGATAAAATAACATTGATAAATGCATAACTGATGTTGTGGCTGCAGACGAAGGAACTGATGAACAGAGAAGCACCGGTCGAGTTCGACTAATTAGGAGACTTTTATTTTTACTCCAAGAACTCGCTTAAGCTTCCGGTTTAATAAAATGAGTGTTATAACTCAATGAATAGGGTATTGCGGGACACAGAGCTTCCACACTCTCCTTGTGGCTATGCCTGGTAGAAAGTAAAAGTCTATTCACAGTCAGTCTAACCCTCGTCCTGAGTGAAATGTGAAAAATGAGCACAAAAGGGTGATGATCGTTTATCACGAGATGCTGTCTAATACGGAAAACATAACTTAGGACATCGTCTCTAGGAAGAGGGGGTGTTAGGTCAGTTTAGTGGGAATTCAATGAAGTCATGCCATGAGGGCAACTGACCAAGGGACTTGTGTCCTCAGGTTACTGCGAATGTGGGCGGCGGGAATGGCATGTGTGCAGGGAAGACCTCGAGTGTTGGATGGTTGTTTACGAGGGACATCTGTTACATTGGGTTTATCAAATTCTGCTCTTACACTAGTCCATGTACATGTATGAAGACCAGTGATAAACAAGAAACCCTCAGTCAGGAACTAACTTGTGAACCAGTGATGGATATACGTGCAGGTTCGTCAGATCATTTCGAAGTGCACAGAATGTGGCACTGTGTGTAACACTGTGTCCCAGTACTTGAATGAAACCGGATCTGCCCTTGTGAACTAACTAGTTAAACCGCCCGGATTAAGTGGAGACTGGCTCTGCCTGTCAATACCAAATCTTGAGAGGAAAGGAGAAGTAACTGAAAGGGTTCATCATTACGCTCATGGCGTTTCCGGTGCCCCGTCAGCATCTGGTGTTGATGGAACACTTCTTTGGAGGTCTTCTTGGGCTGTTTGCAGAGCTGTTGCAGCATCGGAGAAATCCGGTTGGTATTCTAGGGACTTCTGAAAATCCTCAATGCCCTCCTTAAATCTGGCTGAAAGAATTCAAAAAAACAAATAATCAGGCAAAGGAGTGTTAGTAATTGAATATAAAAATGCCACAACATGTAAAGAAAAAAAAAAAGCATCACATGGGGCTGAAGCTCTTACCGCCCTTATCAACCCTCGAAGTGTTTCCTGGAGTCTATCACAAGTCCTCCCTTGTTCAACTCAGGAGCTATTCATATGAACTGGGACAAAAATATTCTTTTTCAGTGCTCATCCCATTGACTGGGCTTGTGAAAAAACTTGTAATAACTTCATCACAACACTGCGCCTGTCCGCCCCCCCCCCATTTTCCCCCATTTTTACTGTTCGCTCCTTTTTAGAATTTATTTCGGGTCTAATGGGACCTAAATATCAATTATGTAATGATTTCACGTTGTAGTAATAATAATAACAATATAGGCATTTATAAAGTGCCTCTTAACAGAGATCAAAGTACACCATTATTACCCCTGTTCACTGGGTCTATAAAACATTCCAAATACCATCTCAGCTCCCTGGAAAGTATACAGCTTGATGCGGTCACTATTCGGTGCAAAGCGGCTAAATCAACCAATAACCATCTCTGCTCTCAAAGGTACCCAATTACTCCTGGGTGGAGAGAAGCAATGAGTGACAAAGTGCCTTGCCCAAGGGCACTGGCATCATGACCCCAGGCTGGATTCGAACCTGCAACCTGAAGCTTTACCCCGCCGACTATGAATACGATACTCTTAACCAATAACCACAAGGCCACTGCTACGGTACAATGTAAATTGTAAATTTGTATGTACTTTAGATTTCCAGATCCCCTGGCACCCTTCCAATGAATTTGGTGCGGAGCTGCATCCACCTCATTCTCCTTGGTGTACATGTACTTTGTTTTACCTGCTTAAGATACTGACTAAACATGCTCCCTACACTGCATGTATTTTGATTCAATCAACTTAATGAGGGCCACAGTATACACTGTACAGAGACATCAGCAATCCTACGCCTACACTGATGGTGAATGCAGGTACAACACGTGGGACCTAACAAATTCAAAATCACAATTCAAACTAATTTTTCATTGGCATTAATTGGCTTCCATACATCGGTTTCTACCTAGCCTGTAGTGGATCTGTCCCCTATTGTAGTAGGCCGTTGCAAAGCTGTCGTTGATCCCAATGGCAGCAGTGTAATCCTCTACTGCTTCATCAAAGTCCACTCGTAGGTACTTGATTTGCCCTCGATTGTTGAATGCCTCAGCGAGAATCTGCCTCCTGGAACGCCAACATCCCAAAAGGGTGTATTCATCAGAAAAATGCGAAGTTCATGTGCAGAAACTGCTGCGATCTGCTCCCTGAGTACACTGACCAGTAATATATCTCAAGTTATACAGCCTGCTATTTCGATCCCGATACATGTAAAGTCTTTTCGAAAAAGTGTGAACAATTAATTAAGCACTGCACCTGTATAATTTAACTTGCTTGGGACTGGTTCTCTACTGTCAGGGGTCATAATCAAGCAAAAGATGCACAGCCCAGGACGCAGTACTGACCCTTAAAGCAAGGCAAATCACTAGGCATTTATGAGGCCCTTATACAATTTCTGGATCAGAGATTGAGCCTTGAAATTTCATCCAAAGGAGTCCAATACAACTTCTGCACAGAGTGCTACGCTGGTCATATTCTGCCCTAGCCCCACACCTAATGTCGTAGTGGCTCTCTTTTACAATCTGTCTCTTACATATATGTGGTGGTGACAGATAAGAGACAGATTTTAAATGAGAGCCAGTACAGCCCTACGTGTGGGGCTAACTCTGCCCTGGTTGGGGTAAAGGTTGAGAGGCTTTACCCATGATAGAGGGAACAAAATCACAGGCAATACATTAAATGCACTAGTCCAGATTTGAAGAATGCATGTGCCTTGCTAACCTTCGATCAACGTGATCCAGGTGTGCTCATTGCTCAAGGCAGAACATTATCCGATTCTTGATTTCAAGGGTCCACATGGGTGAGATAGCATGTTAAGGCAGTTTGGAAAACCTAACTTGATGGCTTATGGGGGATTCACAATAAGTCTTCTAGTGTAAACTCCCCCATCTGAGCCCTGGATAAGCTAAAGCCAGTTGACCGGACTACACCGATGGCCCTAGTCTGGGGCCACCCCATGAAATGAGCAATTATTTCCCAAAGTCATGAGCCAAAAAATGGGTTTTTCCAAACTGTCTACAGCACAATAGTGACAACGCTGTTCCATTCCACATTGTGCAAGTGTGGAAAGAGAACATAAAGTTTGTACATTTTTTGTTTTCATGTTTTAAAAATAAATATTGTGGGCCTCGCTCCAAAATTTTGGTGGTAAGGCTTAAATCATGGTGGGAGGACAAAAACTGAAGATAGCCTGTGGGCCGTAACGTTAGGTTGTACACCTAGCGTTACGTTGTAACTTACAGCAGGTAGGCTACTCACATTCCGTCGCTCGATTCGACTTCCGCACTGCAACCATCAATGATCTTTGTGTACAATTCCTCCGCTTTTTCATTGTGCCCAAGCATGAATTGACTTTTGGCCTCCTCAAATAACTCCTCCATTACTCAAAGCTGCGATGAGTAGGAACAATTCTGAAGATTCCCCTCGTAAAATGCTGTATTTACGATTTACACGATTTGGTACCTGCTGGAACTTCTGCATGCCAAAAAACGGTAGGGTTGTTTCACCCACAATGCTAAGTATTTTGTACATGAGTGAAACTGCACCGACTCACTTACCTCCTTTTACTCAATGGTTTATTTTCAATTACATGTACACGCTCCTTTAATATAGCGCCCTCTCTAGTCCTTTCTGTGGAATAAAATACTGACGATTTCTTGAGAACTGTTGTATTTTCATGAGTTGAAGGAATCGTCATTTTAGCATCACGAGTAATGGAAAAGTAGTGCGTTTTCTATTATGTATTCATTTTTATTAAAATGAACTTTTTCCAAAGAACCTGAAATTCAGCATGTCAGTTAAAGTTAAACATTAGAAGTACAGGCCTACAATTAATAGCCACCGACGACACAATTTTCATGAGTCGCATTCACTGGTTATTATAACCCAAATAAAACTGTATGCTGGTTAAAATGTAACTTAGCCAAACAAGGCAATGTCAAAATCCACTAAGGGGGCAAGTTACTGTGGAAACCCTATCAATCAGCTAAGCACGCAGTAGCACATCAAAAGTGCCCATTCCTTGAATAAACAGTAAACAGACCTCACAAAAGATGTCTTTATTCGCCTATTAAAACGATGACAGCTCTATCTACAACAAACTGTTTGCTGACCAGTCTGGTGATGGATACTCAGTATTGAAACTGGGAAGACCAGAAGAGTTTCGCCATTTCCAAAATGTTAACTTGAGAGAAAGGTTCACGTTTTGTTTAGTGTCGCGAAGGATTCAAGACCCTGTCAGAGCGATAAATACTTGATGAGTGGTCCTGCAAGTTTTATGAGTTACCCTAGACTCTTTCAGACAATAAAACTCTGATTCGAAACACGATCGTCTAATGGCTCTCTGCTGAACGTGAGATACATGTACAACCATACTATTTGTCGACACTAGTGCCATCGCTACATCTGCAACGTTTTACAAGTTCACCCGACATGTCATCATGTAGACCTCTGGGTGTTTCTGCATTTCAAAACTCTTCTTCTTCTAAACACGTCGTATAACTTCCGCAAGGCCGCCATGAATAACAAATTCACCTATTTTAGCAGCCAAGGGTAAGCTATGTATCTCTTTCCCCTTTAGTTATCTTGGCTATGCCTGGATTTTAGACATTCTCATCGACAGGACAATTTAACTCTTGCAACTATACAAAATGTACATGGGGGTTTCATGTAACATTATTCTGTACAACAGCATGCAGAAGCTGTCGAGAGATTGCGTGATCTACATCTTCTATCATTCCAGTTTGACTAGACCCGTAAGATACAGTTATGTCAGACAGTTCCTGTCTTTGAGTGACATGTTTTCCATAACAGCATCGGTCCATAACAGCAAAAGCACGTGCCAGCAGAATGTGGGATGTCTCAAAGTAAACTTCACAGGTAACATGCGTCGAGTGCACCTTATACTGAGAAGAACGTCTGAAACCAAGGCGTTTCACGCATATTTGTTCCGACCGACTGCAGTACAACTAATCTTTCATCGCCTTGCGTGTGAACTTGTCCCAATTTCATATTTCTCCATGATCGAACCTTAGCCGCAACCCTCTGCTGCTGCTGGCATGTCAGTGCAGTCTCAATTAGGTATTAGTAGGCAGAAAGCAAGAATTCAAATTTATTCAGTTACGGAAGAAAGCACTCCTAACTACATCCATGCATCCTAGTGCGTTGGTGGAGCCAAAGAAGGGCAGAGACAGTGACCTCTTCAAAGGTTTGGCTCTGCATGGAAATGTAAAGAGATAAGGGCGAATTTTGTGGGAGTATTTCATTTTCTTTTCCTCCCCAAAGCGTGAACATTTAGCCTTACCCCTCAGAAAGACCCCCAAAAGTTACAGATGATTACCAATTTTTGCCCCCCCCCCAATTATTTTGGTTTCTGAATCTGCCCTTGCTCTGGTGTAATGTTTTGGCATTGAATTCTTTCTCTTTCAGGGAAGCCTATAACTACGAAAGCCCTGGAGTGCCGTCAAGTATATGTTTTAAAAACGTGATGTATATTTTTCCAGGTTTGTTTTCACGAAGTTTATTTGTTTCAGCTTCGTTTCTACGAGATATAGTTTCCCAAGTTCGTTTGTTCGGAATATATGTTCTCCAGTTCGTCCCAGTAAGATCTTTAGATAGAAACGTTGTTTGTACTTTTGGAAACAAATCGAATTTACGAGATACATTTTTCCAGGTTAGTGTTTAGGAGATTTTTTCAGTTTGCTTTTAAGAGTTATATTTTTTGAACGTTGTTTTTGTGAAAAATAAACTTGGAAAAAGTATCTGTCATAAAAAGCAAACTTCACAAAAATATGTCTCTTAAAAGCAACTTGCTTCTGAAAATACAAACAATGTTTCTTTAGAACGAACTGGAGAATGTATGCCTCGAACAAAAGAACTTTGGGAAAAATGTATCTCATAAAAAAGAAGTTGGAAAAAAACACATTTCCCCCTTGAGACAGACTTCAAAAAAATATACTTCACTTTTTGAAAACATATAGGTGAGGCCTACATGTATTTGATTGCATTACAGGGCTTCCGTAGATAACTGCCCCTGCGTGCGCATTTTTACAGCGTCGTTCGGTTGCCTCTCAAACAAAACACCAGGCCCCTTTGCAATCGATTACAGCTCCTGTTAACTCAATTTAAGAAACAACAAAACAACCCCCCCCCAAAAAAAACCCAATATATTGGGTTATATATGAATTTCTGATTAAAACATCCCCACAAACCAATACTATTAAATGTATATACCAAGCCGTTGTGTTAGAAAAGTGCCGACACTGACTGAGGCTATGAAGGAACAATAAGTGTTCTTACGTCAAACAGCCTTAGCCAGATGGGAAATGTCGTACAGCGCAGTCCACAGTGAATCGTGCTTTGACATGTTGTCGTCTGCTGTCAAATTAGTTATATTTCTTTCTAAAAAAATAGTCATGTGACGGTTGACTTCATTATTTTGCCAGAGGCAAATTGATTACATTTGAAACTCTTTTGTTCTTGGTCTTAGGACTTGCAAAGCATGGAAACCAATCATTTGATGCAGATATTCGTTTCATTCACTTCATCTCGGCACAAGTTGTTTTTGTTCGTCAATATTTATCTTAAAATGCACCTGTCACAGGCAAACACACTATGCTTGCTGTTTCCGTTATTTCCGTGCTGCAGCGTGAGGTGTTCAGTGTCGTTCCGCGCGCCCAACGATATTGAATGCGCATGAGTGGTATGGCCCGATTATGTTTGGCCGTCTCCAAGCAACAGCGCACGGTCTCAATTTGTTACCATCTGCGACAAAAGACCGTGTGCGGAGGTCAATGGGGGATTTCGAATGGGCCAAATAATACACTGAAGTACCACACCGATCGATACCATGAACGGTATGTAAATACATCGGCCAAAGTGCAACACAGCCGGATTGGGGGATTTTCCGGGGCCTGACGTGTCCTTGGAGCTTGTGTTATGGTTTGTGACAAACCAAGAATTTCAGGCCGATTCCAAACCGCTTAATTCACCCGAGAGGCTTTAGACCGCCCAGAACTATTGCTGTACGTCCCACTCGGGATCACAACTTGATGAGAGTCGTCCTTGGCCAAGATTATTTCATTCTGCATACCGTGAATTTCCGAAGAAATCAACTCAGCGCTGACAGAGGACTGACTAAGTAAATTCATCAAAACTCCCATGGACACTGATTCGGCAATTTTCTCTCTCGTCTGTTATCACGCCATATACCCAAATATCTTCTTCTGCAACGCGTATATTCCCATTGCGGACCGTCATCAGTTCGACCATGATGGAGGACTGAATACTACTCAGAGCCCGAGGCTGGCTGGCGGGTTGCTCAGCACCGTAAGAGATTGCAAATGGCACTCTGTTTGATCAGCGAAAGTTGATGGTGCGTTATCAACACTGCCGAATGTGGTGAATGTTTACTCAAATTATTTCACCAGCGGAGCTTGGGGACTGACACAGTGCCCGAGTAAGAAACCCCGACTGTCATCATTTTCGTTATAGCTGTTGAAAACGTCTCCAAGTCTCGTTGTAGCTGCCACGTCACGGATGGCAACTTAAAGGCAACTACTTGCTTCTACCTCTATGCATGTACATGTACTGGCTTATATGCAAAAGTCGTGGTCAATGTATCACTGAGTGACACTTGGCCCAGGGGGACAAGGGACAGCTAACCATGATCTAACATTCCTTCGAATGGCCTTCTCAACCCAGCCAACTTGAGGTTTATTGGGATATAATTTCTTCGCTTACAACTCAAAGCTCGAAGACACTTTTCAGGTAAAACAGCGGAGTTTGGGAAGGCTTATTGCTCTGCGTTTTCTGGTGAATCTATTCATCACAGCTACGTCAAAGAATCGGCATCCTTATGTGCATCGGAGAGTCGTTTTAAGCCCTGACGATCAGTGTCAAAAGTGTCCCGGTCTTACATAGAGTTACAATTCCACAAGTCGGAACAGCAGTAGCCCTTCGTTGCATGGCGTGTTAGGCCCAGGGAGGTGTGGAATTCCAGCGTTTTGTGCATGCAGACTTCAACAGGTCAATTGCCGAATATAAATACATGTATAAGTGGAAAAGCTGCATTTACCGCACGTCCATCGGAGACGCCAAATCGACGCCCTGAAAATCTCTAGTGAGATGATGCTCTAAATGGTCGTTGAAAGCTTTATCAATAAACGTAAAACAATAATCCTGCTGTCGCCAACAGACGTGGTATTTTGAACAGTCATCATCCTGACAGTGTTTCACCGCTGCACGGAGGCATTTTCTATTCCTTCACACTGTGACTTCAGAGGATTTGAAATGGAACATAAGTTGTGACTTAACTGTGCTACTCATGCACATGACTTCGATATTGTAAATCAGTCCTGTGCATATTTGATCTGAAAAACAACTCCGATTGGCTTCACTCGAATGATCACAAGTTCTTTATGTGTATGCCCTTAGCTCATTGTACGTTGTATTTTACTGTGAATTTCTGTCGTTGAGAAACTGACAAGATAATAATAAACTTTGATATGTCGAAACAATACAGTGATAGGGCCACATCGGCCGGCTATCGGCTTCCTCTCCCCCGTGTTTCCAGTGCCTACCACAAGAAATGCGTGCCGGCGGAGAGAGAACGACCGTCGGGGAGCCGCTCCGCCCCGCCGCCGGCCACCAAGAATTACTCGGATGTCGACTACCGGGAGTGTGACCATGTGACGGGCGACCGGATCTGGCGGGAGTCGGTGGGCCGGGAGAAGAACGGCGTGAAAAAGTGGTAAATATGTTAATGGCAGCACCACTTACTCAAAAAAATTGTAACTCCCTCTGTTTGGGACCTTTTCTCCCATCTGATGTTAGCCCGTAAGCTCTAAATCAACACGGAGCAACAGCTCCAGAGTTGGCCATCCGCAAAAACTTTGAACAGACTGTAATTGCCACAATGGCTTTCCTGTCTATGCTTATTCATGCACTTATGTTGGCCTTGGTACTGTTTCCCGTGTTCTGTCCGGATTCTGGACACATCTTAAAAGTTATTAAAAATTTCCACGACTAATGACGAATTGAAGTTTTTCGATTGTAGCAAGGTCAGAAGTACTCGACAGAATCCCGTTTACCGGTACTCATTTGATCTCAGAAGTTTAAAATTCAGTAAGAAGTCACTTTATAAAACGTACAACAAATGGACATTATTGGGGCTCGCTGAAAAAAGCAATAAAATAAAGGACGGTACATACTACAACCGAGCTCCAAAGTGACGCAAAATTACCATCACAAAACATTTGCAGAGAAATACGCTCAAGTTGAATGTGTTCAAATTTTGCGAATTAAATTCGATCTGACGTCACAAAATAGAATTTGTGTTCGTTTGCACGAAGTTTGAAGTGGCCCTATTCTAGCAAAATACGGCCAAATCGCGTATTTGAATTATTGCAGACAGTCAAGAGTGGATTTGAGTAAAGTGCTGAAGACGCCAAAGTAAAGAAGGAGCGTAACTTGGAGCCACGCCCCTCTTTATTCTCACCCACACCTCAGCTGAGCTTACATGTAGCCGGTCATCCCCGCGCCACTCTCGATTTAGTCTTTAAAAGACAGTATACATGTACTGTACATGTACATGCACACGTGTTACTCTTTCAGTCATTCCCGTACCCTGTCCAAATGCACACTAGCCCAGTATTAAAAGAAGTAGGGTGTAACTGTGACAAAAATCTGGTATTCATTTTTACCTTGAAAAAAGAGAGACTATTTCTAGGAATTGGTAACTTTAACTTTTATGGCAAGTCTTAAGTCTCATTTCCGCGCCCTATTTTTTTTTTCATACTCGCGTGCTTTAGATACAAATTTCTTTCCTTCTCATTTCCAACTGTAGGGAAGAAGGCTGGGGATTTCTGAAAGACTACGATCAAAAGGTAAGTGCGTGACAACCTTGAACTTACAGGTGAAATGCATGACTTGTTATCAAGCTCAGTCCAGTTGTTCCTTTTTTCACCATTTACACGAGCGAGTAAACCGTACTCAGAGGTGGGAATGGTTGCCATAAGTATTCAAATGATGATGATACCAATCACAAAAACCATCATTTCTTCATTTTCTGTTTGTCGACGGGAAAGGTCCAGATAATATAAAGAATACTCACTGAACGTTCGTGAAAATAATCGTAAATGAAATGGTCTAAAGTTACTGAAGAGCAGTTAACTACTCTGACCGTTTACCATAGTGACAGTGAACAAATAGGGTTTAATATGCTGGTTAAAGTTTATCAAATTCGCTTTACACATTTACGCGAGTGATTAAAATGGCAGCTCAAATATTGCACATTAGGGTCCGTCAATAGTACTGTTTGCTAAGGGTCACTTCAATCCTTCCATGGCGACCTGTTCGTACCAGTGTCCTGGATTGAAACCAGTGCATGGCAGTGAAACGTAGCACATGTCCACAGAAACACAAGTTAGCTTTGTCTCTTACAAAACATCAGCTTCACAGGCCACTGAGGCTATTCGGTCTACATGAATATGTATTTACTAGCTCGCGACCTTTTATTCGCGCGGCCCTTTCTTGTTAGCACCTTGGGTAGATCATCGGCATCCGCCCAAGCTGATGGAACAAAAACGGCTCCTTTGGCCTCTCGTTTTTTGAACTTCCCGTGTGTTTCGTTTTGAAAACCAGGGGAACTTGAAGGAGAAAGAAGAGCTCCCGGAAAACCTGACCCGCTTCTCTGCGACGGTTCCCAACACGGCCAACCAAGTCCTGGGTCACCGGCAGGCCACGGGGGCAGCTGCGGCCATGGTCCAACTCCAACACCAGCTCAGCATCGGCCACCAGAAAAAGCACCACAAAGAGCTCGTGTACGGGGCCGATTGATGGAGGCCCCTCAGCTGCCATTGTTATTGGAAGAGCAGACCGACCCGATAGCTGCCCGTTTGTGACAGTCTCTGAAGATGCGTGCACTATACGCTCGAGTATCAGCACTCATCAGATCAGTTTACACAGAAAGCGAGTGTCGTTTATCTCATGGCGACTTGACATACACCCTGAATACCCCATATTTGTCCAATGTTCGAACTGTTTGTGATTACGCGGAGACAGCTGTATTAACGTTACTTACATGTTAGCCCAAGATAGTGCCAGTATTTTTGGAATGTTAATTTTTTTTAGTAACCAGACCTTTTCTAGTTTGGACCGAAGTAATTTATGGGTGGGAAACAATGGATAACATTAGCAATACATCAGTGGCGTAGCCAGGGGGGCTGAAGGAATATGCCCCCTCCCCCCTCAAACAAAACTCTTAGTGCCACTCAGGTGCCCCCCCCCCGAGAAAAACGGAAGAATGGATATTGAACAAGGCTAACATAAACTTGCCCCAAAAACCACAAGACTGAAAACTGGTGCCCTCCCATAAGCTGCTGGTGCCCCCTTTGTTCCCCTAGTAAAATTCTAGCTACGCCACTGCACTCACTACATGAATAACACTGGACTGTCGTAAACATTCCTTGCTTTAAAAGCACCCTGGTTCTCTTTTTTAAACTGAACAATATTGGAGCAGTTGTGTCTGTGTTCTTTTGTTGTGGGCATAAATCCTAGCAGTACCAGAAGTTAGGCTGAATAGACATCATGGCGTTAGACATGATCATTCAACGACCATAGAACGTGCACCTTGCACGCATTTCCAAATATAAACATAAATAGCAGCAGACGGGCAAAAGTCAGACGTCACACATTATCACACTTTTGACAAATTCACAAAAGAAGACTGGATTCTTTTTCGCACCCAGTTCCCTCACCACGGAACCTTGCAGTTGGATATGATTCACACACAATTCATGTGCGGGTCCAAAGAACAGATTGCAGAAATACACTCGGTCCAGTGAACAAATATCCAGGTTGGGTGCCCCAAATTGCCCTGGTGTCCTTCTGCCCACCTGCAGAACCAATGATGTTTGCATGCAGACTCTGGCTGTACACATCAAAATGTGGTATTCAGGGGCGCCATGGGGGGGGGCCTTCAAAGCTGGTTGCCAATACGTACCGTACAGCATAACGCTCTGTGTAGAGGCTTTGCTTGGCAGCCATCTTGCAAGGCAGTTCTGTTACACAGAAAAACCTCCTTTGTGCACAACCCGTGGAATAAAAAAAAAAAAATTGGCCTGCAAGTTGACAGCCATGCAAACCCTCTATACCACATCTTTGAGTACTAAGGAAGAATGTCGTGCGATAGGTAAATAATTTGTGGTTAAAGATACAGGAGATTATTTTTACACATTTCAAGACTGGGTGTTGAATGTCAAGTAAACCCATGGGCAGGGCATGGCTCCAAAGGTGGCGCCCAATAACCCACAGAGCCCCTGGTCTCTACGCGAAATGCAGTATCAGTAACAAAAGACCCTGTCTGGTGTAGATTTTATAGAGACATGTACATGTATAATTATAAATCAAGGTATTATTCAATAACTTATGTGCCGAGGACTTTGGATCCAACGAACGCTATACATGTATCGTTTCTCGAGTGCAAGTCCTGTACGTGATGTTTGTACAAAGAAATTGATAATGTGTACACGTACTGATGCATGTACTATAATAAAGCGATATGGCTGACAAAATTTCCAGGTCTACTTACTGACTCATATTTGTTTTTCCAAATCTATGTTTTTCTCCGCATTGGAGATTTGTATTATATTATATATCGTGTCAAAGTATGATTAGCCTAAGTAATGGTTCTATGTTTCGCTCGTTTAGGTACTTGAATCGTTATTTTTACTTTCTGAATGCTTAGTCGGTCTTTGTCCTAGTTATTCAGTTTGGGTCTTTAGTGAGTTTTTGGCAGTACTCATAGCCAGTGACTGATATTAAACTAGACTTGGAATTAAAGTGTAACTGCAATGAATTTTTCTTAGAAACTGTGAGACACAATTTTTCTTCAACTTTGTATTCATCTTCAATGTATGTGTATGAAAACTCTTTGATTTTCCTATTTGGCTAAAGATACTGAAAAGTGTACTGTCATGCTTTTAAGCAATTAAAATCATCAACTGGTGGTGCTGTTGCTGTGACGTCATCGAGGGAAGACACTAGTCTGTGCATAGGGTTTTCTGTTCAAATTGCGAACCGAGAATTTACTTACTGAAAAACATTTCTGAGAAAGGGATTGATGCTTGCTTACAGCTATGCACATAAACAACAATGAATCAGCAAAGAAAGGAAAACTTCAGTCCAGGAAAATCTACAAAAACGCAGGACTTTTTTGTACAGACCAATTTAACATTGATGCTTCATCCTAAGATGACATCACAGTTTTGCTCATGAATATGGAGATATTCATGAGCATCGAAACTAAAATGGCGGTAAAATACCCTTGGAAATACATGGAATGAAACAAACGTCGAAAATAAGGTCAACTGAGACATAAAGGTGCATTTTGGAGGTTTCTATTCAAGAAATTGATGCAGCAACCCTTTAAGGTGTTACATGGACGGTGTAGCTTTAGTTTGCCTCCATCAGCAGATCTAACCACCGTGTCGCGTTACGCCTTGCCTTGACGGTGAACCCCCTCCCCACATATCCAGCCAACCGACCAGTCGACTGCTTGGTTGGTCGGATTATGTGCGGCGCTGGACAGTTGTCACAGGCCACAACAGGATTCAAGTCTTGTGTTAAAATAATTCCAGATTTGTTACAGAATGTGGTCCACAATCATATAACACTGCCAGTGTTTGGGAAATTATAAAATATAATTGAATGAAATATACCGCACGCCTGGCACAAGTTTACGGAAATGGCCCAAGCAAAAGCAAGATTAGCAACTTTGATTCCTATTGGCCAGCGATCGAGAAAAAAATGCGTAACAGCAAACGTTTGATTAAATTAACACTGACGGGGGACTCACACAGCTCTGGCGATTCACAGAGCTGTATATGTAAAGGAGGTTGCGCAAATCTCAGACTTTGGAACCACTTAATTGTTCGTGTGCACTGACGCATAATCCACCATTTTGGTTCTAACAAGTGAGACACTCATGTCGCAGCTCTCTTTCTCCCGGTCTATGCGTATCCCTAAAGGAGAACATGAATTTCATTTGAAAAAATCTTTTACGATTTTTCTGTGGCTTATTTCTGTAAAAAAAGAAAAGATTTACAATATACTAAAAGTCTAAACACTTTTTGGGGTCCCAATTTTTTGATCTGAAGGTCATTTTGTGAGGGACTAGGATGACCTGTCGTACGATACTATGGCGGCGAAATCGTATACCGTCAACTTTGAAGGCATTAGCCTTTTGTGGCAGACACATTAGAGGGCGCTATTTTAAGTTTGCAAGTTTGAAGTAAACACAGAATCTTTCACCCAATAGAGTTACATTTAAAAAAAAGCTGTACCCGTATCAATAGCGCCCTCCTGTTGTGTCCGCCATACCTCAATAACTAATGGGTATCACCAGAGGGAGGTATTATCCATTATAATTGACCAATAAAATTGTGAAAAAAGGCTAGTGAAAGATCCCTTACATTGTGAACAGCACTATGGTGGTTGTATATCAGTAATAAATCTGCCATATCAACGATGATTAACCTACTTCAAAATATCAGGATCACTAGTTTCTCCGGTGTTCAAGAAACACATCAAATAAAAGCTTATTTCCTCATCTTTCTTTTTCTATTCTTTTTCTATTTGTTTGTTGAGTTTAACCAATGACCGGAAGATATTTCAATTCCACAATCATCACCCCTAGTCGTGCGCCTGAGGCCCATCGCCATTTTGAAAATTGATGCCTACACTTCCTCACAAAATAGAGCTCTTTTGAAAGCTCCGTTTTGTTACATTTATCAGAAATACAAGGCAGCAGTCCCGTTGTTGGCTTCCAACCTAGTGTTCTACAAAACTAGTTCATGGACCACAAAATGCTCGTATAGAACAGAATTTCGGAGTATGCAAATTCTAACTCAGTCAATACGTAAGCAATGTAGGGCTATTCCTCCATGACTATACGTAGTAGCACGCAACCCATATGTTGTTTTTTCAAATATTATGGTATTGTCACTAATATACCTGTAGATTTATCTATGCTTGTTCATTATTAGCGTAAATTTGTGCCGTGAGTGTGGGGGTGCTGGGGGATGACTTACCTGGCCATGGAAATTTGAAAAGTGTGAGGTGCTCACACCATAAGATGATACAGGAAGCCCGTAGGCGGCGATGTCCATGATGCAGATGTACTTCTGTAATATGAATCACTTTCCAATCTTAAATCAGAAGGGCATATTTATGGCTTATTGTTCTCCTTTTTAGAGCTATTCAACACGTTTTGTTTGATCTTAAAAATCCATCCGCCTTATTTCTTTCTCACCTCGAAAAAGGATTCAATAGCCCATCCCTCTTCTCATCAAAACTGGAGGGATTATAAACCCCCCATCCCCCGGGATTTACGCCCATGTTGTGCCAAATACATGTAATTGGTTACTGACTATTTGCACCTGAACATAGATGTTACTTTAAGACATGCAGCATTACAGGTATAATGTGAACATATTAAAGAGCATTATAATGCGCCTGCTCTGACGCGTGCTGTGCACGTACATGTATACGGATAACTTGGGCCGCCATAAATAAGTCTTAGTTTACTACGGTAGGCCTACTGCCTTGCTTCCATGATGTTTCAGTTTGATTGTCACTTCAGCGAGCAGCCACAATGTTCTGGCTCCTTACAACCTCCAAAGCTTTGTTGGAAAATAAAGCACGCTTAGAAAGCTTCGTATCAAAGCCAGCGCCCTATCTTCGCCGTCCAGTGAGGCTATGATTGTTCCGTACGTCACCACAATCAACAGTGAGCCTGTTGTCCAGAGAAGCAACTACATCAAGAAAAAAATGAAACTTGGAAGTAGAATTTTCGCGTTGGTTCTTATCTGTCTTGCCGGGCTTGCCGTCTATGTCCTAACGAGAAGCGAACCCTATGATCGGAGCAGGCTGCAGGAAAAGCTCGACCGAGAAAACAGAGGCAATGAACCGCAGAAACTCGAGAATGAAAGCAAGTTTCAGGTGAGTTGAGCACATTAGACAAATTCACGATTCAACTTGTGCTATGGGCGGTAAGCGAAGAAGACGCATGCATTCACACCAAAACTTCCGCGCTATGCAGATACATTAAAGAACTCCCATCATCGATGAAGCTAAGTACTTGTATCAAATTTAAGCAAAGTTGTAACTTGAAGTTAAGATTCAAATCCAAAATTGTCTTTTATAATCACTCGCACTTCCCTACAAACCTACCACGACTGTTTCTTCCCAATTTCCCCCAATGGAAAATTCTGATAGGCCTATGTAGACCAAATGGTATTTACTTTCCTCATCAAGATTGTAAACAACTAACAGTGCAGTCAAATCCTACTTACATGGGAAAATCATGTCTTTTTTCAAGAATACGGGTCGTGACTGAAAGCACATCTGCAGCGAATAAAAATTGACTTAATGCCATCGGGAGTGTGCTGCTTTTTTCTTCTAAATTTTGAGCTCAAAGAACTTCAACTTCACATCAATAATTCCACGGCCTATTTTGCAGAGTACTTCGGCTTCTCCCGCCAAGGTGAAAGACAAGTTACATCCCTTGCAGTCACCCACAGAACCAGACCATTTGGCCAACAACAGAAGACCCAGACCTACTCGCGAGTACGTCACGGACGACGGTGTGTACGACTACGGAGCAAAACAGAACGACGGAGAAGTAAGTGACAGTCATCACAACCCCGATGACAAACAGGACCAGAAGGACGCTCCGTGACCCCCTCAGCACTGACCGAATGTTGGGTTGTGACCTTTTCAATGAGTCTTCCGGCAGGGCATCTTGCACCAGCTTGATGGTTAAGTGACGAACTATGAACCTGTGTCCTGTCTATGACCAACTGAGCAACTCGGTCTTTAGTTTGATCGTCCTCCCGCTAACTAAAGTACAGTCTTGATCAAGGCGTCGGACCTGTCTTATTGTTAATTTAATTGACCCGCCGGTGGTTAAAAAAGGGAAGGAACATCTCCGAAAAGTTCTCCAGTAGCGTAAGAACCCGCTCAGTGCATGCAGTGTGCGTGGATGTTATCTTGTGTGCATGACTTGCCTGGTGTACCCATGCATGCAAGCGGTCCAGACAAATTCAAAAAACCATGCTTGCGCTTGTCACCATTAATTTAAAGACGAGGCCGTGGGACTTTCCGGTGAAGTGACGCTGCATTCGTCTATATTAGTTTCGGTTCTAGCGTGGACCCATAGGCGCGGATCCACAGGGGTGCAGAACGTGAGAAGAGAAAGTTTCCCGGAAGAGGTAATTATACTGATTAAAGATGATGTAATAGCCCATTGTTGGTTTCCGGAATTAAAATGGAAAGGGTTATAGTTTCCATTTAAAGGTCCATTCATACTTCAGGTGAATGCGCAATCTGAAAGGAATTCGACATCACGAAAGATTTGCAGTGAAAATCGCTTACGTTTGCGAATTCACAAAGAAAAACCTTACATTTTTAATTATAATGCATAAATGTCTGACCTTGGGGAATTTACATTTCATTCAAATTTTAAAATTTGCCTGTCTTGAAATTCTTTGTGATGACTAGAACTCATTTATCTTTCAGTTTTGATTGAAACTTCATATAAATTTTATTATATTTGTTTAAGATCTTGGACTGCTGCCTGTGGAACCAACACATATTTTTACCAGTCTGTCGTGACTCCTCTTTCTGCATGTGAAGAACAAACAAATAAACTAAAATTCAAAGATTTCAAATAGAAAAGCTAGACTTTCCAGGGCTTTTCCTTTCTGAGAAAAATGAGCAGTTATACACTTGGGCACTGAGTGCCGGCTGCGTGCCGATGAGTGGGTATAAAGAGACCAAAATTCTAACATTTCCTGATCGTGCAAATTCTAAAAGCGGGAAGTGGGACACCACATTCCTTTGTGGGCATATTCCACGATACAAGTCTTGGCCCAAGACGTCAGTGATCGATATTTGTTTAATTTCTGTTGAAGAGCGCCCCCGCTTAACTAGTTTTTACTTAGTGCGAGCTGGCGCACAGTCTAATCATGAATCGTTAGGAGGTGCACTATGCACGGTGTCCGCTATCAAGCACTAACGTCTTGAGACCAAGACTACCATAATAGGTGCATACGTAAATTTCCCGCTCAAGCTCCTCAAAACGTCTTTTTCAAGCGTTTTGGCTGTCGGAAAGTTCGGCACCAATATGGAGTGGGGTGGGGGGTCATTAGGCCCACCCTCCTGTCCAAAAGTGTTTGAGGAGCATATGGTATCCTTCCAAAGATGGGAGCCATTTCTCATTACCGCCATTTTTGTCTTTTCTTGATGTTGGTTCAAAAACGGGGTGGGGAAAATTCGATGGTCCATCTCACTGTTTATAAACTTCGGGGTACATCTCCATGGAAATTTCTTTGCAGCTGCTCATCAGAAACCCAGGGAATATCGCCATAACGATTGGTCATGTCAAAACCAGCACTTCTTCAAAGAGGAGATTAAATTCGCAGTTATCCACTGGGTCTAATCCCTTGTCTAATGCCTTGGATTCTTTACTTCAGGACTTAACTCAGAAATCGGTACTTGGCACTTTTCAGTACACAGAACGACCACAGACGCCGTGACCATTCCGTGACAGTCATACTCAACAAATTAGCCTTAACGTAAAAGTGTACCTGAAGTTATTTTGGCGCTGAGCGGGCCTATGGTGTTGAAAGACCGAATGATAACTACTTTGTGTTTTGCAACAAGCAAGATCAAGATGTGGTATATGACAAGACTTCGACGGACGACTTTAGACTGGTATCAAAGCTAGAAACAGAAACAGTAATAGGCCCGGCTTAATGAAGGTGATGTATAAATTACACGAAATGAATCCTTTAAAATACACCCTATTCAGAACATTTTTTCTTAAAAAATGAAAACACAATTCTAAATTGTTGTTTCGAATTAAAATTCTTGAAAAAGGTTTGAGGAACCCAGGCGCGGAGCAAAGTAAGTGCACCAATACCATTGTAAACAATGTATGGAATTTACAATGTTTCATCGTCATTTCTGCTTGTCCACAAAAATGAGACATTAAAAAAATCTCCGGCTGCCCCCCCCCCCGAAAAATGTCTGGATCCATCCCTGGAACCATTCGAAAATTGTTTGGAATTTGTGCTTTGGACACTGCTGTCGCTGTGCTATATCGATAACAAGGTTTCAGTCCTTTGGTGTCGAAGAGCTAGGTGCATTATACTCATCGATTTCAGCAGACAAAAGCACAGGCCAAAGCTGCCGTTATACACAATAACTCGCCGGTGTAACGAGAATCAGTTGTTTCTAAGCTCCGAGGTCCCACGCCGCACGCAAGACGGGGATGTGCGAGTCCCCGGCGATTCTTTCTTCGGCTGTGAGAATACTAAGTGCTTCGGTATTTTTCAGTTCATTCAAAGTTGTTTTCAAAACAGCGACGGCAAGCGGACTAGGCTTACACACAGTCGGTTCTGAGGAGACAGAAAGGAACTGAACCTACTTCACGCGTCAGGGATTCTACTTAAGCTGTGCGTCTTCGTAAGGTGTATGGCAGACAATGGTGTTTAATACAACACACTTTCTAATAGTGAAAACCCTTCAGAGTTTGCGATGAGGTGTACCACGCGTCTGGTCCTGGTGGCTTCTCTGCTGGCTGTAGCCTTGATCGTTCATGTCTTCATCAGCAAGCACTTAGGTGCCGGAGACAGGAGCAAGCCGCTAGAGAGACAGCTGCACAAGGCAGACCGTAGTGAGGGTGGACATACGGCACAGACTCACGTAAGTAACGCTCGAACCTTAGTACATGGAGAATATAAAAATATGTAAGCGAAAATTTGGGGGCAATGATGACACTTCAGCCCTTCAATTTAATCTGTGCATTACGTGGTGGTTCTTCAATACAAAGGGTGGAGCGTGGGGTATTGTCTTCCATTTTTTGAAGAATAATGGAAGAAAGACGATTCTTGTGTCTACTTGATTTGCATTTCTTCTAAAATCTAAAATCTGCTAAATGCAACTCAAATTACAGTTAATCGCTTCTGGGTAAATCATCTTTCCACTTTACTGGCAAACACTTGCTAATTAATTTAGACAGATGTTATCAACAGGAAAACTCCACGAGTGGAGATTACTTAATTTCTTACTGGACGGGCGTGAAGTAGACCCCGGTATGTATTACTCACGTTCACCCAAGTTAATCCAACACTTGGGTCCATGTTAATCCAAATCAATCCTTTTGTTGCCTATGTTTATCCAGTTGTTGCGTGCTAACCCTCTTGTCACTAGCGATAATCCCTGATGCCCCGCTCCTTGGAGTTTTTTCCCACAACGGAATCAGTCAATTTGAAATTGTGGATATACATGCGTATACTGCAACATTATATAACTAAGACATTAGAGGCGGAACACATCGTTAGAAAAATTACATATTACTTTCAGGTCATTTACTTTACTTCATTTTGAAAAAAACATATTTGAGCTAAACTGTAGAATTCCAAGCATAGCAAATTGGGAACTGCGTTATTTATCTGGGAGCTCACCCTACAATGGTGGTTCTCCCTTTGTCCAAAAATCCATCTTGTGCTCACTTCGCTTCCAGTGACATGGTAACCTTGCTAACACCTAATCCTTTTGATCCTTTGAAAGTAAGTTACATCTGTCAAAACGAGACAAGTTTTGGCCTTGTTGTATTCAAAATATAAAGCCTCAGCAAGTGTGCGATATAACAAACAAAACCGAGCACACTGTAATGTTCTCATTTTTTTTCATCGAAATGAAAGATTAATAAGTCTGCGAAATGTCAGCCGCTTTTATTGATTGATAGAGGTAAGCGCCGGAACGGAATCCAAGGCGCCGTGCAGATATCAATAAACTTATCTGCGGGTTACATGAAGTTGTTTTATCTCGTTATTGATGGTGTTATCACTGTTCTGCTTGCTTACAGATCTCAAGAACAGATATTCGAATCGAGACAGAAATGCAACAATGTTTGCAACGTGTGCTTGTACATTATCAAAAATCAGTACTTCTTGCGATGAGTCACCCCATTAGAGCGTTTTCTATCATTTGACAACTGTCTCATTATTAACCACGTTTGATCTTTGGATGGTGTCCGTGGATATTATAACATGCGACTTTTTTCTTCGAAATGCCTGCCTGTAGAAATTTCAGTGGGGTCGGATTCATAGATTTTCTGACGTTTTGAGATGAAACTAAAGTGTGTTTTTTTGTCATGCAGACGGACACACACAAAGACACTGGCATCCACCTAAATCGGCAGCCTTGTGTTTCTATTTACCAGTGAATGCCAACACATGCATATTCAATTTTGGAAGGTGACTGGTTTGTCGCAGGTTAAGACTACAGAGAGTGAAAAAAGAGGAGCAGCTCAACCCAAGATTGACCGCCGGCCGAATACAGATGACAAGCTGGAGCAGGAAACTATACGGACAGAGGACAAGCAACCGGTACAAGCCGACCAATCAGTGAGCGAAGAAAAAGTTGCAGACGAACTGCATGTCCTGTACCGGAAGTTGCGTACTGACCCAGCAGCCGTTACTAAGGATTTGATGCTGGCCCAGAAACTCACTTTCATAAGAATAGCAATGTGTGGAAGCCAGTCGCTCATCAACCCCATGGCAACGGTCGGCAAGAGAAACATCCCTTCCCTCATCTTGACGATGGTGCCTGACAACATTACCAAATCGAGAGGCGAGGCACACCCCTACACAGAGAAGCTCATTTTTGAGTATTTGTACCGTTACCCAATTCCTTACCTGAGTGTCGGTGGTCATCGGTATGTCAACTTCCGAAAGTACGGAGACTTTCAGCCCATTTCATTCACCGTCTTCGCAGACCCCGTGGAGCGGTTCACCAAGATGTTCTACCTGATCCGGAAATTGTACATCATGAACAAGCGAAAGGGAATCCAATCGGCTGACAACTTGAGGCTGGGCCCTAAAGCGAGGAACACCACATTGCAGAGATGTGCCACGCTGCTGGACAAAAGCAGGAACGACGCCAGGCAGAGCCGGGCGATCCAGCGGAAGTACTGCGGCTTCGAGCTGTCGTCCCTCGCCCTGGTCATGTGCGGGGAGGACAAGCGGTGCAGCCGGCACGACGCCACCAACTACACCCTGCAAGAGGCACTGCGGAACCTGGACGATTTCCTGGTGGTGGGCTTCGCCGACGACCTCGACAACACCGTTCGGGTCATGGAGAGACTTCTCCCCCTCTACCTGAGGGGCTACAGGCAGGAATTCGTGGACCAATTCCAGACAACGGAAAAGAAGATACATTCACTGGAAGTCACCAACAAGCTACGGCGCTTTTTGGAGACAGATTACGTGCTGTACGATGAAGCGAGGAAACGCTTTGGAAAGCTGAAAAAGGAAGTGAATATTGGCTGAATTCCGGTTGTCTGAACTGTAAGGAGTGATGAATTTGTGTTCAGTTTACCTCCGTTTTGTTTCGTTTCAGACTGACATTAAGACGTACAATATCGTTTGAAATCAGCCATGCTGGCGTGTGTTGAATTTTCTTAAGCAGCCACGGGGCAATTCCTAGCAGAAAGGGTTTTTCAAAAAAAAACAACTAAAGTTTTGGTAATATGTCGGAACAGTGTGACTACAGTTCCATTTCTGTTGGGATCACCTAGAGTTAATTATGATTCGAGGATTGTTCCATGACAGTTTGACTGGATGCATCGTTGACTGATTTCTGGGTGACCGGCACTGACGGAATCGAAGGATTCATCATTGATTGGCTTATGAGTGACTCTTTGCAATGATTGGTTTGTTGATTAATATATTCACGATTCATTTGATTGAAAATGCCATTGGGTATCTATGTTTAAGTTTGATAAGGCCTTATTGACACTAATTCTGTTCATTAGACTTTAAATTTAGACAATTAGAACCATGCTGTTACTAAAGGTAAGAGAATCGTCACCAATGGTGTCGGTCGTGTGGAAAGCGTTCTTATTTACACTGCATACCTTTAATTATCAGCAAACCTTTGACATGTTTTTGAGGTTACTTAAGAAATGTGTAAATGCTTAAAGCCTTTTGCCTTAAATCATACGGCTCCAAAAATTTAAGGTTTGGGCTGTGATCTAGGGCCACGAGGTGACCACCAGCATTAAACTTTAAAGTTCTGATCGAGGAAGGCTGCTACTGTTATGGGTGCCACTGGTTCTAACACTTCACATAATTTTTTGTTACCTCTGAGAATATTTCAGTTCATTTTCCCAATCAAACCATAACAGACCGACAGACAGAATACTTAGTCGAATGCATAAATATATATGTAATTACTATTTATTACAATATACATTTCTGTATTCACGTAATAGATTTACATCATTAATTTGATCAAACAATTAAGCATGAAACGCGAACAGTTGACTACTAACACTTGCTATGTCACAGCACAGAAATAACTTCATAAATATTTACACACCCAGGCAAACGTAACTGTACAGTTTAAAGACTAGTTCGGACTTGGTGATATGTGAATACGAGACACAAGACGTTGAGCCTGTGTGACCTCGCGGCAAGCACTCGACTGTCAATCTTTCGTGAGATCAACTTTACCTTGCACTAGCATTTGCATGGAGCGCAACATCGCATACTTCACGCGAATTTCACGACGCAACGTTCAACAGGTTTCATCGTAACATCTGCATTGCTCTTCATTTAGCTCAACCAACGCAGCCTAAAGTTATGGCCAACCTTCGAATCCATGTTCTCCATTAACTTTGACATACAGACCCTCCTACAAGTTGACACTTGGCTTCCAAGAACATTTCTACTTTTAAAGTCATTTCAAGACAATATTATTTCTAAAGTCGATCGCTACTGGTTTTAAATGTTTTTGGTTGAACAACGAGTCTGCATCTCTTGAAATCTTGTGGCTTTCTTTAATTTTTTAGTCCTTTTAGAATAAGGTTCTGGTTCTAACAATGTGAATCAATTCGTCCCAGCAACTCTCTAATGAGAGATAACCCTATTAGTCCACAAGGTTTCTGGATGCATCTGTGTTCCAAACAAACAGCAGAAGATAGACGGTTATCGTAATACAATCTATCACTTATATTCCTTGCATCGAGCAGTATGGTTCGCTACTAAAATGGACTAAACGTTGCAAAAGGAATTCTGAAGGCAAGTTCACACTTGGCATGAAAGTCCATAAAATGTGTACTTGTGACGTCAGATTAAATATTCATGTAGCTTATTCCCAAAGTTGAACAGGTTTCAGCTAAAGTAAATTTCAGCGCAACTGTTTTGTAACATAAATCCGCTTTGCTTTCGAGTTCCCCTGAAGAATGGTACAGCTTCAACTTTGGAGGGTTCATCCATCAAAATATCATAAATAAGTCTCTGGAGCTGAAAAAAAAAAGCTAACGTAACTTTGGCTAATTCAAGTAAAAAGGCTTCACAGATTAACAGTTTTCTGGTGGTTTCCATACATAGGACCAATCTTCAAGTGGAAGGTAACACCTCAACGTTCAAGGCATAATGAGAGCAATGAGTGTGTCAAGATGAGTATGATGGCTAATTGAAATTCCGAGTTTGAAAAATGTTCAGATGTGAGCAAAAGTAATGTCATTTTGCATCACTCCAGAATTCCTAAACATAATGAAGCAAGGTTGGATGTTTTAGTGGTCTAGAATGTGAGTAGCAGTGTTTGTTATTACACTCCAGTTGTCAAATATTTAAGTCTATATCAAATATTTGTGGACTATTTAACTATCTTATGTTGGACACATCCTTAAACTGGGAACTGTCAACCTTATCCCAAGCTCTCTATGATCAAATCCACATATAAAGCAAGATGTGGGACAAAGAGCACCCCCTCCCATCTTTGTGCCGGTTATTGTTTGATCGGAATCTCAGGAATTCCTTACAGACATCTAGGGGGAATGGGTTAGGTAACAACAGTCACAGTGAGTTTGTTTCTGCATTCAATCGGGGACCCTGAACAATAGAGGACAATAAGGTCCCCGATTGACAGAGGGTCCCCGATTGACAACTGTGTACAAGACATATGAGTGGTCTTCAAAAAAAGTTAAAGTACAAACAAAAGAGGAACAATAGGGGGTCCCCAGTTGCAGGCAAATACACACTTGTATGAGTGTGTTTAGGGATTGGACAGGTAAGGGGGGGTACCCCTCCGTCCCATGTGATGCTGGGTATACAAATCGACAGTGAAAATAAAAAGTGACTTCTTTGAAGAAAATGCATGGTGGACCACTGTATTATGAATCGCTTGTAGAGCGTACTACTAGATCAGTGTACTGACCGCCCAATCAATGATTGAAATGGCCTGCCAATGATCAGCTGACCATGAACTACCTCTGGCAATTGATGACTCATGCCATGAGTTCTGGGTCTGGCCACGATTGGGAAAGGAATGAGCAGTCATCCGAGTGTCTAGATCTGCGAGTGACAAAGAGGGCAGGTGCTGGCCGTCCGAATCTCGCCCTCGTAAGCTCGGTGCTTGCAGGTGTCGCACATCCAGAAGAGGTTGTCCATGATGGGACGGCCTGTCACGATGCACGTCGGGAACTTGGTGTCGCACTGGGGACACGCAGACGACCTGGGAACACAAACGGAGAGTCTGTTAATGTGCAAGGTGTGAAACCACAAGCTTTGGAGCAGAGATTTGTTAAATGGAGTTGGGAAAATGACTTGCAACTTGACTTTTGAAAGTGAGAAAAATGAGTTTGGACTTGACTGGCACGGAAAACAACTTGTTTATAACGCTGGAATTTTATGAATGAGGAAGTCAACATTACATATTTGTAAAGTAGGAAGGTAAAACTGAAAAGACAAAAAATGGACGATGTATTTAAGACTGAGAATGAGTCCTGGTAATAATTGAGCACAATGGAAGTAACCACAGAATGACAGATATTACTATTGAAAGTATGAATAATGATGTCAATTTGGAGGAGGGAAGAATTGAGGAATGAAGAAAAATCCACCAATCACCCCCAAGACTCTTCTGTCAACAGTTAATAAGTTATGCGCTCTCTTACAAAGAGCTATGGTTACGTGAATCTTGCACAGTTCTTTAATGAAAGTGCACCAAAATGCATGTAGCAAAACTTGAACAATTACACTTCAGAACTTGGTTGAAAATAACGCCCTTGCATTCTAACAACACTAGTTCACTGCACAGGTACGAAGAGGTTGACTCCTGATAGCTCGCTCCCTTGAATCCAGGCAAAATGCAGACGTACCCTAACTCAGTGACAGCACTCAGTGACTACATACAAAATATCACATAGATGTGTGATTACTCACCAGTCTGGAAGCATTGCCTCACAGTTGGGACATTCTAACTTGTTGGTCCGTGAATCTTTGGGGGCATGTCTGACGATGAAATACAAAATCAAGAATTACACTGTATGAATTACTCCACTGTTCAGGTGGCAGGTTTAGGTATTCCAAAGGTTTGCTGTTTTGTGGGTCGGGTTTTCTTCATGGAAGAACGACATTAGAGAATTAGTGAATTTGAGTGACCCCTCATCAAGAGAGCTAAGACAGATGTATGTCTTAGCTATGCCTCTAAAAATCACGGATTTGTAAATACGGAACTTGAAATAGACATCTCCTCACCCCGAATTCTTGGGGGGCCACATCACCATTTTCAAGCTCTGCCCAGAAATGTCTTGTTTTGACAACATTCACACCTTGTACAAAAAATGCCACCAGTGTTGCACATACTGCAACATGATTCCATGAAGCCGTTGTAGAGAATCTCAAGGCCTTATACATGTCCCCTGGCCTTTACTAGTTAACTCCCGACTTACTTGGTAAATATCTCCAGTGCCAGGGCTTCGTACTGCTCCTGCTGGGCAGCGTTGAGGGCATCGGTGGATTCCAGCTTGATGAATGCCTTGGAGCAGGTCCCAAAGGCTCTGTTGGCACAGGCCGCTAGGCCCAGGAGAGAGTAGATGTCCACGGGGTCTAGGATGTCGTCGTACTCTCGCAGATGGAGGGCAGTCTTCATGCTGGCATCAACATAGCCTGGAAAAGATACCAGCAGAGGAGACAAAAGACGGGTCTCACTGACATTCTGTGGTCGAAGTTGTAGTTGGTTCTTTTTTAAGCCCAACAAGCATATCAAATCAATGTAGTACGACAATTCAGCCTGAGAAACTAGACCGCGTGGTCCGAGTATTTGCCAGTGCTGTGGTTGAGTCCATCACACGTGTAATCAGTCACGAGTCCAGTCACAAGACCAATCATAAGTAACGGTGAATATTGACAAAAAGATGCGTTGGTCGCGGGTAGTTTTATTGGAATATTTGATCGACTTTGGAATACTCTAGTATTATTCAAACTGACTCAGCCTAAAGGACAGTTTAAAGGGTGGTGTTTGAGCTCAAACAAGAACGTGAAATTGGAGCACTAAAGTTGAAACGCTACATTTCAACACAACTGAATTTTGCTGCAAATGTTTTGTGATGTAAAATTTGCTTTGCTTTCGTGTTTGCCTGAAGTGCGAACCGGACATTTTCAGACAGTGCAGGGCCTTACCTTGATAGAGCTGCCTCTGAGCCAGTAAGAAGAAGTGGTAAGCCTCTGCACCTCGCCAGGCACTGTCAATGACCTTGGTGTCAGAGCTAGCCATAGCTTCTTCCTCCAGCAGGCCGGCTAGGGCTGAGGCAGCCTACAATAAGGAATGGGAGGGTGATTATGGGCTCTTAAAGGAGACTCGGCTGAGATTGCTGTGCGCAGAATTACTATGTGGAAACGGCACTAAGTCTCTGCATCCAATGCTAGTGACATATAATTCAACACATTTAACCAAACTTTGGAATGACACATCTGAAATGTGTCGTGTTTACACGTGTCACACGTTTCTTTTTGGGGATATGATTTGACAATTTTTTTTTCCAATTGTAATCATTGCAATATCCGCCCTTGTATATCACAGTTATGATACACATTGTTTTTATGAAATGAACAAAATGTCATAAGGGGAAAGGTTTGCGGTAGCACCATGCGAAGGAATATATCTCTTTTAAGCATGTGTGGTTCTGAAAAGAACTGGGAGCATACTCAACGTTTCGTCGTCAGGGGACTGTGTCGTCGTCTCTTGACGAAAGACTGAGCACGCAGTCCGAAACGTTGAATATACTCCCGGTTCTTTTCAGAACCACATATACTGATAAGAGATATATTCCTACGGATGGTGCTACCGGAAACCTTTCCATTTATTGCTATCTTTCACCATGAATAGCCTGAAATTCCATCGAATAAAATGTCACACAGAACAGGTTCAAAACTAGCCCAAGGTAATACTTATGTCGTAGAAATAATCTATAGATAAGATCTGACCAAGTTATCAACCCAGAATATACCTAATTGTTAGAAGAAACATTGAGGATGTCAAAATAGAAACTTCTTCTTGCTCTCGTTATTCGAATTAATTTAGTAATATACAACATCCATCTTGTTTTGCACAGACTATAGTGAACTTGTAAAATATTACAACGGCTTCACAACAAACCTCAGCTTTCTTCTTCGATTTTGCTTTCAGTCTGGAGGACAGCTTCATCTGTTCATGGTAGCTCTCAATCTATGAAATAAATTATACCAATGATGAGAGTGATAACCTGTTATGGATCTTCACTTCACTGATCACTTCACAGAATTTAGGAAGACAACAATAAACTCCATTTTGAAAAGAGGAGACAAAAAATATCTGAAATGGCTGCATTATACAGTCAAATGATGGAGATTTTGGGGCGTAAAGTGCACCCTTGGTCTGTGAAGTTGAGTACATAGATTTCACCTTTCTGCACGGTACCACAAAAGTCTAAAATAGAAAAAACAGAGACGGCTTTGCAAAATGAAGGAAAAATATTCCAAAGTGAACCCACTGCTTAATCTTTATGCACACCCTCCGAACCCAGCTCAAAGACTCAATCAAAGGACTCATAACTCAACCTTGACACTGGATATTTCAGACCTGCATGGGGAGAGTCGGAGGGTTGGAGGTCTTAAATATTATGTCACGGTTATCGCTTTTTGTAGCAATGGCCTTGATTTTACATTGCAAGACAAGTTAAGAACATAATTTTCAATGTCTCAAAGGAAGAGGGGTTTTTCTGATTTTTGATTTTCTGGCTTGCTGAATAATTCTTAACTATGAGCTTTGCATCCAAGGGAAAAGAACTCTTCATTTGTTGAGTTAATTATATTTCAACATACCAGCAAGGCTCCAAGGACGTACAACTTCTTGGTTCGAAGTGGCTTGACTTTCTTCTTAGCGTTATCTTCAGCAATCTGCTTGTTAGCGACAAAAATGGACAGAGTATTAATTTAACCATAAGACAAGCCAGAGAAATGTTTTCTCGTACAGTTTCCAAAATGTCATAGCAGAAGCTCTTCCCCCGATGCTACGTGCATGTTTGGACGCCATTGTCACGAGAACTAGACTTTAACAATTCTTGCAAAATGGTACATTTCACAAAACAACTGTCGCTACTTTGCTCAGACAATGCTGAGTGAAAAGTGCTCAGTAAATGCAAGGACAGCAGCACAAGGCTGTCATGTTGTTTAAATTTGAGACTTTGCACTAAATGTTACAGAACTTTTCCAAATAAATTTGGGTGTAAGCTTAAACTGAAGTACTGGAAAAACCCTAGCATATGATTACCAAATTTGAGCACCTTTCTAGGTGTTCAAGGCCTGTCTCAACACTTGAATACCCCAGAACCTGCATGCCTGGGTAACCATAATGGGAGTGTTTACGTACCAAGGTGTTGTCGAAGGAGATATCTTGGTGTCGTTTGGACACAAGCTATTTTTAATTGTTGAATACCCTGTTTTGTCCTACCAATTTACATAAACATGCATATGCATTTACATGAATAAATATCAGCAACTTTATCCCCCCCCTCTTTTAATTTGAGGCATGCTTGGATACCCAGTTTCCAAACACCTGTGACTAGTTTACGGATGACTCACACTGAACATCAGCTTGGCTGCCTCGATGAAGTGGTTGGCCTTGCGGTAGAGCTCAATAGCCTGGAGCTTCTTGTCCTTCTCCAGGAGGTGAGCGGCGTAGCGGGCCAGCAGGCTGTCAATCTCCTTGATACTGTGGGTCTTGGCCAGCTCCACGGCCTGGTCCCACTGGTTCAGCTCCACGCAGCAGTCCACCGCCTTCTTGACCTGGTGGCACTTGAGGTAGGCTGCTACAGCCTCCTGACACATGCCTACTGTCACAAACATGGCGGCTATATCCTGAAGGGGGTCAAAGGTCAAGGGGGGACAGAAGACAGTCTGGAGTCTGGCTCTGGAACTATGGAGCTAAAATATGAAGTGTACTTGTATACCCCCCCCAAAAAATGAAACCATGAAATCCAAACCTGAGCATTTGTACTGCACGGAATGTTAATGGAAATGCTTAAACATGAAATGTTAAATTTAGAGTACATTGTTTTAACTTATTGCTGTCAAATTTCATTATGTTCTATGACTGAACTCAAAACACCTGCGTAAAAAACAGCTTCAGAGTAATGCTGAATGTGGGGTTGGCACAATAGTAATTTAATATAGCTGCACCTGGCAGTGGCACTGGAAGTTAGCTGCCCAATTCCCACTGCTGTATACTGAGGATATCACAAGACTGTGACAAATGTATTCCTTTGTCACTGATGACCGTGTTATGATTGGACCTGCGAAAAGACTTGTGAAGGACCTGGCTACAACTCCTAAAGTTAAACCCACACCTGGTTTTTTCACGCACACTGCTCTAGGAAATCAGGAGAGTTGATACATACAGGGAGGAGTCGGTGGTTTTCCGGAAACGAGTCAGCCAACTTCTGCAGCCCAACAAAGTCCTCCAGCAGGTAGTAACACTCGGCCAACCTCTCCTGGTTGTTGCCCTGCACGTAGTAGGTGACGGCGTTGCTCCACTTCTGCCGGTCGGCGTAGTAGTCGCCGATGGCATTCCAGGCCTGCTGGAGCTGGGTGTCGTCCCCTCCTCCGCTGCCCGCCTTCAGGAGCTGCACCACGCGGAACCAGTCGCCCAGCTTGAGCCGCAGGCTGACGGCAAGGTCCCTGGCAATCAGAAAAACCAAGTGTAACAATTGCGGCCAACAGCCAAGTTTGTTTCTGCTGGCTGATGGAAAAATGTTGTGGGAAATTTTATGTCAAATCTGTTGCCTCTTAGCACCATCTGTACCATCATAACTGTGTCTAGAACACAATATTCCTGTCTTACTTCATTTCACTTCAACATTTCTTTTAATTCCAAACAAAGGAAGCAAAATATCAAGTTTTTTTTCCTTTGGCTTCAACTAACTTATACATGAAAAGTGGCGGCAACAAAGTCATTTGTCCTGTTGGATTGAGACAATGAGAATGTGGTGACCACAGGAGTCTTCAAGTGAATTCCAACGGTCAGAAAAATCCGTCGGTTGGTATACAATTCCCAATTTTTTTGACCTTTAAATTACTTCTGTTCTCCAGGAGAGGGTATGAAAAGACCTCTTTTACTTGTATTCCATAACTAATGTGCATTTCCTTTGTATGTACAGTTGAAATGAGAGGAAAAGACTGAGGGAAGAAACTGACAAAAAAGAACAGAAAAACACAGCAAATTTAGCTTCAAGGAAAACGTGAAAGTCACTCACTTGTAGCATTGGGAAAAAAGGTATTTTCACTAGATTGCAGTATATGAACCAAATTTGAGACTTGACAGCAACGATTTCAGACAGAGATGGCAGAAATCCCTACCTTCGATCCATGTCCATGTACATCCTCTCGGCCTCCTCAAACCTCTTGAAGTAGGCGGCCACCTCAGCGCTTCGCATCACCTCACTCTGGAGGTTACCCAGCCTCTTGACAAACTCGATGCCCTGGTAATCCTTGCAGCGCACAAAGGCCTGCTCGGCCATCTTCAGATCTAGATTCTCCAGGGAGGCCTCAGCGAGAAGACGCCTGCAAGCGCCAGAGGTGATGATCAAAAGTAGATATAAGAGTCGGCTTCAAGGATGGATCAGGGAAGCGGGTAACGGGAACCATGGCGACAAAATTGAATCCAAAATCTTCTCTCTTTTTTTTAAATTAATGAGAGAAAGGCAAGTTTATGGGTCTATTTCATTTCCCTTCCAAAAGCATGTAAGGTCTATGTAAGGTCTTGGGCGGTACCAGATTTGGTAATAAAGGTACAACATGCATTATTCATATCATGTGACTTATGATATGCGGAAGTTGTGCAAATGACTTTCAACATGCGTCAGGTTCAAAAACTATGTTTTCTTATTTAAACACAGACCAACATCACAGTGATGCGTTTTTACGGATGTTCACAGCTAAGCACTCACCAAATATCCTTCTATAGCCAAAAAGTTGCCATAAGCGCATATAACAAGAAATTTAGCTAATTTCAATTTTTGCAATGTCATGCCACCGTACGATCAGGATGTACGATGTCCCTGCTCACTTTAGCACTGTGAATTTGATCTAGTTTTCCCCAAACCTGGAAATTTATAGAGCAGATGATCAACGGATAGCTGAATATGGAAAGTTGTTATACAAATAATCTGTTGGCGTATCTTAAAGGCGTTACAACCACCTAAAGATGGCATTTTCTGCAGAAAGTTTTGGACCTCGAGATCAGGATGCCACTTTTGTTTTCAATTCTCGGTTGAGAGATGTCATAAACTTATTATATGGATGACTCAATATAAGGCTCAAACAAAGCTGTTGATTGGCTCCCTCGGAAAGTCGCGGGAAAAACAATGAAAAACATGAGAAATGAAAACAAAATATCCAAGACCTTCCTGCGATAACGAATCGTGTGGTGATAGCGCCCTCTATCGGTGTGTGCATGCGGTTCGTGTCGCGGAAGGTCTTGGAACCCAGACTAGCGACTCACCAAAGTCTGGGGTGGGGGTTGTCCTCGATGAACTGGGCTGCGTCTTCAATTCCAACCTTCTCGAGCAGGTCTCGGGAATCACGCAGAGACTGCACGGCAGACACAGATAAGAAAGATGCAGGTTATGAAACTGAAATAAGCTCAGATCTTCATACAAAGAAACCAAGAAAGAAAGACTGAAATTGACAGTCACAGTCTTTGTACAAAAATAAAGGACACTCGTTTATAGAGAGTAACAGCTTAACAGAAGCCTATACGGATTGAGATATACAGTAATGGATGACAGACACAGTGCGACCAACGATTGTCACAGTTGTGAACTGTTACTCACAAACACGGTAACAAATATGAGCACAGGCATAACTTCCAAGAGCAACATGTTACTTTTGCATATTTCTTCCTTTCACTTAGTAATCTGGTTATTCATGTCCTCAAAGTGTAACAAGTCATAGAAGCAATGTTTTAGACCATCCCAGACAGTCCTAGATACCTTAATTTCCATGTCCAGCATGTTATCCTTGCTGGGATGCTCAGGGTCTTTCAGGATTTCATCCAGGAGCACCGACTTGATCTGGAGGTCCTCAAAGTGACAGATGTAGCCAGAGCTCATGATGGGTTCCTGTTGGCCAGAGGGAAACAAGTGGTGACAAATCAGACCAGTCAAAATAGTTCGCTAATTAACCTGCTGCAATAGAGGGATTGCTTGGCTGCCATCTTGCAGGCCAGTTCTTTTGTTCCACACTGAGAAAAAAGAGCTGTCCTGCAAGATGACTACCACGCAGAGCGTTTATTGACAAAGAGCATTCAAATTTTACATGTGAAATCGGTGGAGAAATACTCTTTCAATGTTCATGATAGATCACATGTCTAAAGCTCCGGCTTTCCATGCAACAGACCTTCTTCACAGGGAAGCCATGTTTGATTGTGTTCCCAGAATTAATCTTATCCACTTCAATCTGTTAATCCTCCATTGTTCCCCTAACAAAACAAGCACTAAAATTGTCTAGGATTTGTCTCTTCGGGCATTTAAAATGTCCCAGATTGCAGAATAATTTAATTTTTTTATTTTTCTGGGGAGTATACTTCCAGATCGCCTTGTCTGAGGATCACCTTCAGGGATCCCAAGCCACGACATGTTGCACCCCCATTATCATAATCCTTGGTGTGCCCTGTTTAGATGATTAAACGTTTCATCCCCACCTAGGCCCACAGCAGTGTTCAGGGGGCCGAGTCTCTACCACCCACCTCTGGATCCAGGTTGCGGAAGATGTACATACGGGTCTTCTCCATCATGGCAAAGAGCTCGGTGTTGTCCTCGGCCCACTTCATGTCCCAGACGTCCTTGCGCTCAAACTCCAGCTGTTGGCCTTGCACCTCTTGGCCTTCCCCGTTCACCCACTTGGCTTCCAGGTCAAAGAAGGTCAGGATACCGGTGATATCGATAACGGCTAGGCGGCTGGGGGGGTGTTTAAAGACAGGGGTGTAAGGTGGAATTGTAATGTCCCGAGTCAAGGATTCAAGTCCAACTTCAATGGGTCACAATTTGCGGGGACCTGACTCAACTCCAGAGGGAAATGACCCCAAGTCAAGATCGACATTTGGGGGAGGACTTGGTGCTGGATTTGGTGACTGCTAATACAAGACTGAACCGTATTTTTCTATGCTCCAGACCAATACTCATGAGAAGTAGGAGCTGTGTTCTCTGTGGTTTATGGGATTAAATTGCAGTTTTTGAACCTAAATTCTTGTGTTTTGTTTCTTTTTCGAGAAAAACGATTGTTAATTAGGCTAGTTAATTGTTTCACAGACATAAAACATGTGTGTGATACTCACGCCGAGTTGCAGTTGAGTGAGAGTGCATGAGGGCGGCAGTTGACTGTGTGCTTGTTGGTGAGGGCCAGGTGGGGGAGTGAGTAACGGTTGAGTGTTCCTGACTCCCGGCCCACAATGAGTAACTTGTCTGACGCGCACACGCAGCAAATCGCATCATTGGTCGGCTGTAAGACAAACCAAACAAACACCTCAAGTAGTGATTTTTCATGCTGTTTATTCCGTGCTGTTAAATTTGCTTGTAACATTCATGGTTCTGCAAATTCAGGGCTCTTCTTAAGACTTGCATTCACTATCAAACGACATGAAAATGTCAACATATCAAATAACTGTGAGGGTTCTCCAGAGAGAGCAAATAAATATGTTCACTGACCTCACGAACTGACACATGTGTGACTTGCTTGGACAATATACAGGTTGATGTAATTCTTGTATTCACAAAATGAAAACAAAGCACTATATTGTTTACTCAGTGCATTTTTGGTTTTCAGAAACCTAATCTTTCTTAAATTTCCCGAGGAAGTTAAGTTTTTGTTATACCACTTTATTTCACAAGTATATGGATGAAGTATAAAATGAACGCCAAGCCTTTAAAAGAACGGGAGTCAAAATAACTGATGAAACCAGAAAAGTGTTTAAGACTAATTAATGCTCTTACCGTTGGTTCATAACCAATCCTATTATGGGCTCTTGACCACGAGGAAAACTGCCTGAGATATTTACGAATGAAGGCCGCATCCGAATCAGCATACTATGGCTTGGAGTAACACACACACCTGTGGGAAGTAGCCACAGCCGCTAGCCCGTGGCTTCCACAGGGGTACATGCGACATAGCCACAGCCGGAGCTTTTTCGGGCACGGCCTGAACTCACCGCAAAGGCCTTGCTGAAGTCCAGCACGGAGTCGCCCGCTCCCGAGGGCGTGTCGTCGACATGGTAGACCCTCTCCCGGCTGTCTTTCTTGCGGCCCACGGCCTGGTTGACCTCCATGGCGGTCAGCTTCTTGGCCGTCTTGAACTGCCAGACGTAGAAGGCCTCCTTGGAGGCTGCGATGACGTGGGTGCGTGTCACAGCGATATAGATGGGCTCTGAGAGTGAGTACACAATCAGAAAAAAGAAGTGACACAAGACTGGAACCAGGAACCCAAAACAAGGAGTGTCTAAACTGCAAAAGCTTAACCCTACAAAATTTGCACTTGTTAAACTTCTCACTGTTCTCAGTCTGTATTTCTATTTGCCATTTAGTCTACTACATGTATATGTACATTCCCACGTATCTTAAAACTAAATGACCAAAATTAGCAATCATTCTTGGTGTAAAGAAAGCAGCGGCCCTAAAATTCCTGCTAAGCTTTCCAGTCTGTCATGCTGTCCTTTTGAGGATAACAGATCAAAGCTCATTTCCAAAGATTTGTGTTTGGGTAAATTGATGTGAGTCTTGGAGATGCACTTTGCCTGCATACTTAACCTGAGGATTTCCATTTGGGGGGGGGCAAGTTGCAAACATCTCACTGGTCAGAGAGGCATGTAGTAAGCGTGTAAAGCCTGCCTTGTTCTAATGTGTACATGCAATTGGTTCAGTGTAATTCAAGACTAGGCACGGAAGCTTGAATCAGGGTTATTAGACCAAAAAACACTCTTGAAATATACAGTATTCATGGAGTGACAAAGCTTGGTCAGGCTACCGGCAGCAATGAAGCAATCATCTTGAAGATTTTGCAGAATACTCTAACAAAAAACGCATAAAAATGACCAATGCTTCTTTCTACATTGAAGCACTGTATAAGGTATACCTTGAATCAAAATGTCCCATATTCAATAACCTCTGAAAAATTCCTACTGATCCAGCTCACCAATATCAATGTACTTCGACTCCAGTGGTGTTCCAATTGAGTTGCACAGCACCAGCACGTACTGGATGAAGCAGAGAAAAAGGTCACCAATTTTAGGACTTTATTCATATTTTTGGTCGGAAGTTTCATCATGAGCACCCAGATCGGATGGAGATAAGGTGAGAGTTTACAAAGAGGAAATGAAGCTTGCTGAAAAACAAAAAAAATATTCTAACTGGGAATGTCTGGAACTGCATGGTGGATGGTGCAACCGTTTGAAATGAATCACACATTATTGTACACAGAAAGACATGGCCACTTTAAAAATTGTAGTGATGTTAGCAAACAAAAGAATGGTCCAATGACAGTGGCAATGTCCCTACTGTGCTCATATTTTACTCATTT